GACCGACTTGGAGATTAACACTTAAACAATTTATTATGTCTAAAATGAACGTAGTTATGGAAATATTTGGGAGAAAATATGGTGCATCAGTAGACTATGAAATCTGAACTCGTTCTTAAAGGGGCAGCAGTATAAATGTGACGATTGCGACATTACTGAGAATCAAACAACCAAAGGCAAAGAGAAAATCACTCACAGCTCTTGAATGAATTACTTCAGCTTTAATAAGCATAAAATCTATGATAAACGTTGCAGTGCTATTTTACTTTTGATTACTTTATTATAATTCTTTTTAAGACCATACCTGAATGATGTTTGTAGACCTTCCTGAAATTAAATTAAAGCACTGTGTAGGCCTGTATAATGTGTATCTTTGTTTAATTGTCTATCTATTGTTTAATATATATATATATATATATATTTATATTGACATACATACATACGTACATATCATCCTTGCCTGTAGAGAAGAGTTTATTTCAGCATCATATAAAATCAACAATAATGATAAATACTATTAAAGCAAACACAGCTCTGGTATCGGAAAAGTATCGGTATCGGCCGATATCCAAAGTCAGGTATCGGGATCGGATCGGAAGTGAAAAAATGTGGATCGGTGCATCCCTAGATGTTACCAGTAAAAGTGTCTTACATTATATTAAATATATCTAGTCAGTGACAGAGATCATCATACTCATCTACAATAATTCAGAATTTTCAGCTTCAGAATCATGAATATTGTTATTCTGGTGTCTCTATTGTCTTTATTATTATTTATTACACACAATGTAAAACTAGATTTAGCATTTTAATCAACAGCACATTTTTTGTTAACCTTTTACCATACATCTTGGAGTATCGCGATAATATCGTATCGTGAGTTCAGCATCGAATCGTGACATGACACCCGAATGCGCACGACACGTCTTCTGATCACAGCGTTCGGGTCAGAGACGGCGTGAGCCTGTGTGTGTGTGTTTAGTTGGGTTACATAAGCAGCACAAGGTCTGTCCCAGCTCAGGATGTTCATCTGTGCCAGGAGCCTGGAGGCATGCATGAGTTCGCTGGGTAATTATTCATTTTATTTATGCAATACAGCAGGATGACATTTCATGGCTATAAACTAGGTCTAATATATATAAACTGCCAATACAACCGATTCAAAACGTAAGTTAAAATAGCATATGAAAGTTGAATTCAGTGGATATCACTCTTAATGCAGCCTTGTAGTACAAAAATTATCTGACTTTAGACTGTTGAAATCAGTCAAGAAAAAGTCATGAAGGCTTTTAATCCATCGCTCTCAAAGTAGAACTATTTTTCCACTCATTTTTCCCATAAGTCTTCATTAAAGGCCCACCGAAGTGCCTTGAAACACGCGTTATTCAGTGCGTTGACGTAATTTTAGAATAGCCAATGGCGTTTAGTTTACATCACAGCTCGGCCGTTGAGCCCCTTAAAGCTGTAGTTTCTCCATATTTATTATAATATAGCATTCTGCGCAGAATAGAGCCCGACCGATTAAGGCCGATACCGATACAAATATTTTGGGGTTTTAAAAATCCGATATTCCGATATATCGGCCGATATTTTTTTATTTTTATTAAATATTGTTGGATTTCACACACGTGTAAAAGAAAAGCTAAGTTTTCTGCACAAGATACGTTTGATACTTTTTCTCTATGTCTAAATGTTCACTCCTCGCAAGTATAACTTACATTTTACAATGCAGGGACTGTAACTAGAGATATGCGAGTTATAAATACAGTAATAATTACTTTATTTAGGCAGAAAAAGTTCATTGTGGTTTCCAAGCTCATTAATGTTAATGTTAGCAGTCTTCCACTGATGATAGTGGCATTAGCTAGTCTATGATGAGCCATAATTTAGCAATAGATAACATCATACTGCAAATTGTAAAACATACATTTTCAATATAACAGGCCAAGGAGAGATGATTAAAGCGTGTTTCGTCCTTTTTTATTTTATTTTTTTAAATATTAATTTATCGGCCATTATGACTGCCGATACCGATATTATGGAAAATGCCTAATATCGGCCGATAATATCAGCCGGCCGATATATCGGTCTGGCTCTAGCGCAGAATTAAAAAATGTCCGATACATTCTCTGGTCTGCGGCGACTCGTTCATATGATCCGCCCTGTGCGTCGTGTCTCTGGATTTCGCTCGTCCCAATGGAAAGCATATTTACGCTATCCGAATCGTTCCCTATATATCCTCATTCACCATGTAGAAAACAGTAAATGTGTGAACAAGTGACTGATTTTTAGCCACAGCTTCAGCGAGTGTTTATAATGTAGGGGGCGGAGCTTCAGATTCTACAGTGCATTTGATTGGACAGAGAATCTGATGAGAAGCTCAAGTGCCAAGTGATGTCATCAAAATCATTGATTCATATTGGCGGAAGTGAGAGACTAAGATTTGAACGCTTGTTACTGTATCTTCTCAATGTGAATTTTGTTATTGTTTTGGAAAACACTAGCTAGTAAGATTAACATTCATACTAAAAAACGTTTTGATTTTGAACAATTTTGATTTCATGGTGACATAGATATAAACATTATATCATAGATAGATATTGATTAAATATATACTATAGAAACAACCTTTTATTTACATTTATTGCAAAATATGCTTGCATTTATAAACACACAAATATTTAGTCACTATGAACTCAAAATGGACAGTTTTTGTTTTCATGGAATATATAGCAGTGTTTAGGGCTGTCAAACGATTAATCGCATCCAAAATAAAAGTTTGTGTTTACATAATATATGTGGATGCACTGTGTATAATTGTTTTATATAAATACACACACATGCATCTATATTTAATAAAAAATATTATTTATATTTATATAGAATATAAATTATAAATCTATACACAGTATATACATGAAAATATTTCTTAAATATATACAAGCATGTGTGTATATATATATATATATATATATATAAAATAATTATACAGTGCACCCAGATATATTATGTAACTAAACACAAACTTTTATTTTGGATGCGATTACTCACGAACGATTAATCGTTTGACAGCCCCAGCAGTGTTTATTATAAATTATGTATCCGTGCACATCATAATGGTTTTTAATTCATGTGCTTTGTATTCTTGAATCAGAATAACTCCCACTCCCTTCATCTCTTCTCTGATGATGAGGGCGGGGCAACCTGTCAATCACGTGAGATCCACCAATAGCAGACCAAAACCATCCAATCAACACGCCACCGACAAAATCAAGCCCCGCCCAAAAACACTAGCATAACTTTTGTTTCAGGCTGACTTTAAGTATTTTGACAGCGCTTCATTAGTGCAGGCTAGTGCGATTAGCTTCTTTGCAGAATCTGAATCATATAATTTAGTTTTTTACCAGAAATTCCACTGAAACATGCTTATTATTTGGGGGGAAAAAACAAATACCATTATCTTCATAGCTCACAGTGGGGTTGTCTTTAAAGTTTTACAAGTTAGTGTTAAAAAAACAGTACCCCTGGAGAAAATACATGTGATTTTTACTGTAACCTGACTGAAAGTGCATTATGGGAACCCTACACTGGGTGCAAGAGTTTACTTTACTCATACTCAAAAACAACTCCTGCAACTCACAGAGATAAGTCACATGTCTTGTGCACTTTATACTCACACACACACAACAACCTAGTAGCCACTACAGAGTGGAAAATTGATTCTCATCCAGTTTTTTTTAACCATGTTGTCCACTTTGTGTAGCACTGGTGCCTCTCTCTACTTCCTGAAAAAGGATACACACTTGTTTCCATGCCATTTGCATTGCCCTTTGGACTGAGAAAACACTCCCTAATCACTTAAGATAGCCAAACACCCTGAAGCCCACTTCACAGGGAAACACGAGCAACTGGAATGGATTTCTGAATTCGAGTACTCCCTGCTTTGCATACTACACAGTGCACACCTACTCTATACCACAGTAAGGAATAGTAAGAGTGGTGTAGTAGTATGTAACTCTAAACAAACCCTAGTTCCTGCTTTGGCAACTGACATTTTAAAATGGCCTCCAAACAATGATAGGCTAATACAATTATTATTTCATTTTTTTTTTTTGCAAGATATGGTGGTTCAATGATGTTAATCAGTAAATTATGACGATTTGCCCTAAAATTAGATCTACGTGTATGTATTAAGCGCTATGACCTCTCAATCAACTGTCAAGCGCAAAACAAACACTGTTGAATTAATCTTACAAATATCATACTCGGCAAACAACTTACCAAATCACAAATAAATGTATAATTACAACAAAATATGCGAAGTATTCTCAACAGAAAGCAGTCTGAACCGAATTTAACTCACCAAACAACTGCCATTTTAATTGTTTTTTTAAACTGCCATTTTGACCGTGTTTACATTTTGTCAAGTTGGTGACGCAAACATGTTTACGCCATGACGTCCGTCGGCCGAAGCGCTGACGTCACAGTAAAAAGTTACCAGATTATATAATAATAATAACACTTACAATAAAAATAAACAAGCAGTTGAGCTCCACCAGTCAGTCAGGTGTGTTCACGTGACTCTCCCATTAGCATTTAACGATGTGTGGAAGTTAAAAGTCAAACGCCAATTTACTTTGAACGTCGTTAAATTATCGATCAGCAGAAATGTCCACTTCTAGTAATAACCGTGCCAAAAAATGGCATCAAATAGAAACGCTTCATCTGAAAGCGCTAGATATAAGATAATCTATATCTAATGACACATTAGCGACTGTCCACGATCGAAAGTATAAAATTGATAATCAATTCCTAGTCGATGGCATGTGAGTGTGAGAACAGGATTGGACAGTTCGCATGTTAGCTAAACACTTCAACACACTAAAGCGTGCTCTCCTTCATTAACAACTCGTTACAATCTATCTCATGAATAAATGATCAAATATTACCATACACAGATCATTTGAATGATGTAATCGACCCATTTATGGCCCACTTACCTCTTGGCTTCTTTTAGGCCCGAAGCATTCTAGCTCTGAAGCCTTTCCCTTTGTTCACACTGATCTGCTGTATCGTCCCAATAAATGTGTCACACACCAGCAAGAAACGCGTAACTGCTCTAAAAGACAGCGCTCGCTTAAGTGAGCCATGCCGCCGAGGCTCGTCTGCTCGTCATGATTGTGTCGGACAGATTTTTCCAGCAGATCACGATCATATTTTCAGGAGATCATCGCGTCTCTGCCTGGCTGGCTGATTTCGGCTTGGTAAACTAACGTGGTCACGTGACGCGCGCGTCCCCTCAAAGCGGCCGCGTCTCAAACGCCAGCGAACAAGACAACTCAAAAGCAGACTTTTTTTTTTTCTTTTCATTTTTAAAATATTTTTGGACGATGTAGTTTCCGATTATGTGTCTAATAACCGATACGCAATAACTAATTTAATTATTTATATTTATTATAAATTAATTAATTAGTTACTACGAAACGTATTTGTTATGTAAGACAATGTTTTATTTGTTTATGAAACTACAGATTATTTTATATAACATAATTGTGGATCATTTCGTTTCCCCCCGTGAATATTCACAATCTTTACTCCAGTCATCAGTGTCACATGATCCTTCAGAAATCATTCTGATATGATGATTTGCATTTCAAGAAACATTTATTATAATGTTGAATAGTTCATCTTTCTGTGGAAATCGTGACACATTACCAGCATGATTATTAAAATTGTGGTTTAAAAAAGAAATTACACACTTTTATAATTCAGTGACGCACTGATCCAAAGACAGTAAAGACATTTATAACGTCAGTAAATGCGGTTCTTTTATTCATCAAAGAATATATCAAGCAGCAAAAACAGTTTTCAACATTGGTAACAATAACCATTATTATTTAATAATTGAACATCAAATTATCATATCAGAGTGATTTCTGGAGTAACAATGCTAAAAATACAGCTTTAATCATATTTTTATAGTTTTATATTATTACAATTAGCAATTTAATAATACAATGACCAGTAGTGTATTTTAATAATAATATATTGCTTAATATATTTAGTGATTTCGCAACTATCATTTCTATTAAAAAAAAAACAACAAATAAAAACTACAATACAAACATATGCTTTATAAATATTTTATGAAGCAATCTGTACAAATACATGGCTGCGAATCAAACATTTTGCCTCATATTCCGATGAGAAAGATTACTTGTGGCTTAAATGCAATATTAACAAGATTACTAACAAAAGAAACATTTCTTCATGTAACAAATGAGTTTATTTCATCTTAAAATGAAGACCGTGTTAAAACACCCCAGCCTGTTTTTTTATAGCATCATTCCTTCTTGAAAAAGTTCAAAACCAAACTAAAAAGTAGCAAAAACAGAACATTTATGTTAAAAAAACCACAACTGGCTTCAGTGTGAATGAGTAGATCATTACCGCATTTTAATTTATAGGTTTGAGATACCACTGCTACAAGACGGAAAAACAAAGTTGCATTTGTCTCGAGGTAAAAAAGAGAATGTGATAGTGGATTTTTACATTTTACAAAACAGGATAACAATATATATCTCAGTTTCTTTACAAACATCATCACATGTTCACCACCAGAACAGTCAATGTACGACAATCAAATCATTTCTTCTTTTTTCTCTTTTTCGGAGGGCCTTGATCCGAACTGCTCGAGGAATCGGAGTCAGAGCTGGAGGAAGACGAGGAGGAGGAGGACGAGGATGAGGAAGGGCTGGAGCTGTCCTCACTGTCACTGCTGCTGTCTTCAGACGAGGATGAGGAGCTGGAGGAATCGCTGCTGTCTGAGGAAGAGTCACCGGAGGAGCTTGACGAATCACTGCTGCCCGAGCTGGAAGAGGACCTGAAAGAAAACAGCATATCAAATGTTGGGCTTACATTCGACCTGTGTTTGTTAAGATGGCAGTGTGAATATACAACAACCTGAAATATGACATTTTCCCCTGTGTGTGTGTGTGTATATAATACATAACTGTGTTGTGGGCCAGTGGAATATGGCCATATTTATACCTGCAGTAATCAATATTTGAAGTGGATCAAACTTGATTGATTGATCAAACAATACCTGTTCTTGTTTTTTTTTTTGATCCACTTCAAATGTTGACTCCTGTGTGTATGTATATCATTGTTCGGTTAGACCCCATTCATCCTTATATTTATTATAAAATAGGGCTCAAACTATTTTTGGACTTATTTATTGTTTTGGACACATGTTTAGTCATATACTATACACTAATTTGATATATAGTTAAATTAAATTAATTAATACCAGACCTAGTTTTCGGCAAAAAAAGTTCATTGGTTTCCTCAAAGTAGATAAAACATCTAAATATTTTTACATTATAAAGTGCATAACAATCATAACATGTTTATAGTGGTAACACTGGCAATGACTCACCTTTTTTTCTTGGGTTTTTTCTCACTGCGTGCTGTACTTCCAGGTCTAAAAAGGGTCAAGAGAGTCAAGTTGAAATGCACACTTTTATGTGACTGGGTGGGTTTTTACAGTATTTAACAATTAAAATAAATTTAAAAACACAACAGATTTAGAAATAGATTTAACCCTTGTGCATCAATTAAAAAAAGTTACACATAGGTAAAAAGAGGACAAAAATGTCCATGTCAAAAAACTGTCATAAAAATCTGACGCTTTGGAGCACAGACGTATCATTTTAAAGAAGACCCTTTGCAGATTATTGCTGAAGTAAAAAAAATATAATAAGTAAATCCAAAAAAAAAGTTATATAGGTATAAGTTTATGAAAATTATTTATAAAATAATATTTTATATAAAATATATATTTTTTAAATCAGGTTGAACTCAAAACTACAATAAAATCAAAGCCATAAATCTAAATAGGTTGTGTTCCAAATTTGAGAATGATACCTCAAAAAAATGAGCTTTCGGTAACAGTTTGTTTGGGCGTAGTAACATATTTTCCCCATTGGGTGGCAGCAAAACCCCACTGGAGCTCACAGTGATTGGATTAGAATTTGCAGTTTTTCTCTCTCAGTCTGACAAACACACACATGCACGCACACACACATATTTTTTTATAACACACATACTAAACACACTCTGACATCCATACCAACACACCCACACAAATATTGTTGCATAATTTATCCAGTTGGCTCTATAGTATGCCAAAGCAGAAAACAGGAATAAAGCCATATTTGTTTTATTGGCCAAACTTAAAAAAAATGACACCATCTGATAAAAAATAGTAAAAAATTAAATTTTGAAGCCTTGCCATCAGAATGAAAGCCTCTTAACAAAGATTGCATAATTTTATAGTTAACTGAACTGGGGATTAAAAATGGCAGTTTTAATGGGTTTCAATGGGGACATTTTTGTCCAAAAGGGGCTGAGAGGGAGTATTTTTTGTACCTAATGCAAAAAATATATTTTTAAGAAAATGACGGTAAAATAAGTCAAATTCCAATAAAAATACACACCTGTGTCAAGTTTTTTGCAGTTAGCTTTAACACAGGCAAAGTGATCAAAAAAGAAAGTGATCTGAAAAGGACAAAAATGTCCACAAGGATGCACAAGGGTTAAAAACACAACAAATGGACATAATGGAGTAGTCTATTTTTTAATGTGGTTGTCCATTCTATACTGGCAACAATCGATCGCTAGTTTAGCGTTCATGTAAACACTACATTCAGATTCACCAATCGGCCCCTACTACTGACTGTAGTCTTGAGATATATCCAGCTGCAGACCCGCAGCACCACCAGTTTCAGAACCCCAGCGCCAGAACCGGAAGTGAGGGAGGGGCGCAATTATTGTTATTGCATTATAGTTATTTTAGCAAGACTGTAAGGACAAAGTGGGCCTGAGAGTGAGTTCCTCATTTGATACATAAGTTAAATTTATACAAGACTGTTGTGATAAAACAGGCTAGGGTTGAATTGGTCATTTTGTATCCCTTTTTATTGTTTCGTTTACTGTAAAACAATGCCGAATTTTCTCTCTCTTTATTAGATTTTGACATTATTACTTTACACACAAAAAAAATGCATGCTGCACATGTTCTTGTGAAATAAAGTATCTTTTATAAAAAAATAACAATGCGTTTATTTTTATTTTTTTATTAAACAATCAAAATCATCTGACCAATACATATCTTCAATATCAAAACAATTTAAGATTTTTGTAAACCAAATAAATAAATAGAACATAAAATATCACAGAGGTCTAATCAGTTTGTGAATTGTGTATAATTTTGAAAACCTCCAATGCTTGTCTTGTTTTATTTCTTTCAAAGCTTTATTTTACAAAGTTAACTCCTTCATTAAAACCAAAAAGCAAAGGTCTTACCTTCATAAATGTATAAACTGCTTTAGCTAAAATTATTAAACTGTTATACATTAAAATGCCCATTAGTTTCAAGTATTATTTTTTCATCATCATGATCAGGAAGTAGGCTAACTCATAATACAATGAAACGGATAACTGAAGCTATATACAATTAGCCTATATTACACAAAATCAATGTTTTAAAATGCTTATTGTACTGGAATGTAGCATCATAACATTACATACGTAGAAAGTAGGACGTTTCATGTTCAATAAAAGCGGTTTCATGTGTAAAATACCCTCCAAATTAGGTCAGATGGCGTTATTAAGTTTCAAACCTAAGCTCCGCCCCTCACTTACGGCCCTGGCACTGGTGTTGGTTAGAACGTAAGCTCCGCCCCTTACTTCTGGTTCTGGCGCTGGGGTTCTGAAACTACTGGTAGTCTTTAACCTTTGGCCAAAAAAACCCTCCAATGACGCAAAATGACGATTTTTTTTCCCAAACAAAAAATACATAAATATTTCCAAACATAAATACAAAAAAAATACATCTCGTCTCAGGGGGATATGAGGGTAGAAAGCATGGTAATTTGAAAATACTACAGGTTTCCTACAGATACAAAGCTTAATGCTAAATACTGAAGTATCCCTTTAATTACTCGCCCTTTTGTCATTCTAAACCTGCAAGACTTTAGTTCATCTCCCGGAAACAAAGAACTTTTGTGAAACCTGAGAGCTTTGTAAAGAGAGAGATTGTAAAATATCTGAAGAGACTCGATCTCTTTTTATGATGAACAGATGAAAATTGGGCTATTATTCACATAAACGAACAGAAGCTCAACCAAACCAGTTTGACAATGAAGCTCATTAGTTGAAGTTTCAACATGCTCTTGTTCTTGCTGAAGCTCAAACGCGATGCGTTACACGAGAATGAACCTCATTTGTTCTTGCTGAAGTTCAAACGTGACGCGTTTTATACCCTTTTTCCACCACGAACCAGGTGCTGGTTCAGAGCAAGATCTAGAGACGGTTCGGAGCTCTCAAAGAACCGGTTTGCCTTTCCACAGGCTTGAGAGCCATCACAGAGCCAGATCTTATGTCACTGTATACATCATGTTGCCCAGCAACGGCAGCTCAAAAGTGATGCGTAACATTAGAAGGAATCTCATTGGTTCTTGCGTGCTGCGTAACGAAGAATTAACATAATTGGTTCTCACACATCAAGCGAACGAGCTTGCGCTTCGGTTTACCACGACTGATGTGTGCACTGATGTCTCTACAGAAAATGGACTAGTCTAAACAGCTAAAATTATAGGGATTCGTTTTACGATCTCTTTATAAAACATCCAAGTGGTAGTAGTTGCATAGCTGTCAATGGACGGACAGAAAGCCTTCAGATTTCATCAAAAAAGATCTTCATCTGTTTTTTAAAGATGAACTAATGTTTTACGGAGTGTTGTGTACTCGAGACTCGGACTCAAGACCATATTTTAATGGTCTCGGTCTTGTCATGGACTCCTGTGCATTTTGACTCGGAATTGACTCGTACTCAAACATATTAGCACTCGGACTTATTCCCGGGTCCCATTCAAAATATGTCATGATTATTACTGTATGTTAATATTTCTTTAAAATGTTGTTACGTACGCGGCACGCAAATGCAGCAGGACCCAGGTCAGATGTGACGTGGAGCCTCTAGCTCAACTATCTATTGAAAATGTCTGCCTTATCCATGATTCAGTTTGCATATAAGAGCCACACAGAATTTGTGTGCAGTAATGTTATGTAAAAGAGCACACTGCAAGTCATAATTATAATACAATTACCTTTACCCACCATGTGGCCTTTTTACCATACAGTGTACGAGATTCCGTGGTATATTTGGTTTACTGTACGAGTATGGTGCCAATTTTATTGTTACCATCAAATATTTTACATATTCTTGAATATATATTTAAGTCTGGTTTGAGACCCAACCTTAGGTTATCTGGTCTGGACTCAAACTCGACTCTCTTTGGTCTCGATCTCGAGTTAACGTTAGCTGGTTTCGACTAAACAACACTGGTTTTACGAGTTGGGAATGACACGAGGGTGAGTAATTATTGACAGAATTTTTATTTTTGAGTGAACTATCCCTTAATATTAGAACTACGGGAGATTACTTAACTTCAAATATCCATAATATACAAAGGGGTTTCCATCGAAAGGTGTCAACTAGTAATCTATTTATTCAATATTAACGTTACTACTCAAGTATGTGAATGCTTTGTGTTTCTTACCCCAAATTATCTGAAGGGTTGTTCTCCTTGTCTTTCAGCTTCTTTTTTAACTCAGCTGTCCTGGAAGGTCTATATAGATACTTTCTTTTCCCAGTGCATTCAAAGGACCAGTGTCCATGTTCTAGACATTTCTGACAGCGAACATGTTGTTTGTTTGCCTCCCTGTGGAAATATGAGATAAGCCACGCAGTAACAGGTCAAACCTGGTGTTAAAACATCAACAACTCAAATCGACAACTAATGAGATAAAGATAAACAAAAATACAATTAATATATTAAAAATATAGTAAATAATTTCAATATAGATTAATGAGTCAGATAACTCACGCTTGCCGTCGAGCGATCAATCTATGCATGGGAGTCGCCATTTTGGATGCGATCGTGTGCGCGAGCCTGAAAAAATAAAGTGCGCCATCTAAAGCTTGGGAGAGGCTTCAGCTTTCTATTTTATTCTGTTTTATTTGTTTGTCTATTTATTGGTCTATTCATGTAACTTATTACATCATTCATTTCGTCAATATAGGTGAAACATCGAAATATACACAAACGCTTGTTTTTTTTTTTCATTCACCTCTACTTTACGGTGAATGTTTGTGAATTCCGCCCGTAAAATCCCAGTATCATCATTTACTTGAATAAAATCGTGCAGTCTGAGAAGAAGAGAGCAATAAAAACAAACGAGATAAGATGTATTTTTAGAATTAAATACTCGGAAAACAATTTGTTTTGCTTTTCTAATTGTTAACACACACACACACACACACACACACACACACACACACACACATATATATATATATATATATATATATATATATATATATATATATATATATATATATATATATATATAAAATAATAATTATCAGAGCAACTATTTTAATCGTGTGAATAGAGAATTATTCTAAAACGATATTCTCATTATAAACGGCAAATAGTATATTTTCAGCTCTATTTTTATTAGACATTAAGGACAACATATATATATATATATATATATATATATATATATATATATATATATATATATATATATAACCCAATTATTTTAGTTGCATTATCTTTTTGGATGTCTTGTTAATATTATATTAATTATAATATATATATTTTTTTCTTTTTTACCATTTTTTATATATATTCTTAGATAAATCCAGCATCGATTGGTTGTATTTGTCGTCATGGTCACGTCATACAAGGAAAGCTCCAGAGCCATCTAGAACTCAAACTCTCGCGATAAAAGCATTGACTTCGGCGTGAACTCCGGCTTACCCATTACATTACATTACATTACATTCAGCAGTCAGTCAGCCGGTCTGCATCAAATCAGTCAATGGACATTAGAGAACTATGAAATCGCGTTAAACCTGAGTTTTATGAATTAAACATCTCCGTGACTGTTATATATATGTTCTAAAAGGACACTTCTCGCTGGTTTTGAGTGTTTTAGCTGGGCTGTGCTCGTGATTTCCAGTGAAGATGTCAGTTGTGGGATTTGACGTGGGCTACCAGAGCTGTTATGTTGCTGTCGCTCGCGCCGGTGGAATAGAAACCGTTGCAAACGAGTACAGCGACCGATGCACACCGTAAGTCTACCTTTTATTCTGCTTAACTTATGTCTCTTTGACATGTCACACCCCATTCACGCAATGACAACCAAGTTAAGAAGTGTGGAACGTGAACGGAGCATTTTTCCTTTCATTATGTCATTTAGATCTAAATTATGTATATTTAGTTAACAACATGCCTTTTGGCTTGATATTGACAGTTAATATTGTGACGATCTATTCGGCATGTTAGACTAGTATGATCCCGAAGTCTTTGGAGTATATATATGACTGTTTTAGAGGAGATAGTGTAGTGATAACGGCTCTGTTAGCTGGAGATGCTACAGCGTGGCTCGCGCTGCTGATGTGACGTCACGCCCGCAGGAACATTCTAGCACATTTAATGCCGCGCGGAAAAAACTGTCATTCTTTCCTTATTATCTCGGACTATATAATTATTTATTATATGTTTATCAACTAATGGTTTCCGTCACGGAATACAACAATTGTAAAAAATATTTGCGACATTTTTTCTCTTGAGTAAAGTCAGATTTTCGGGACATAACGTAGAAACTAACGTTACAGCGAAAAAAAATATTTTTTCTCCACTGATAGTCAAATGGGGTGTTTCCATTTCACATTAACTATATATTTTGCTTAAAAAAATTATTCAAAATTAAAAATGATTAAATTCGCTCAAAAATCTACACCATACCGATAACGATACCGATAACTTGGTTGAACCGATATTCAACCAATTGTTTTTAAACTGAATACTAAACGTTAAATGAAAACAAACATTTATTGAACTTCACACTAAAAAAATGTACTGTCTTTTTAAATTAAATTTACAACATTAGTCTCCATATGAAGCACACAGGCTATGTTAATGCCACAGAAAGACGAACGTTTCGCTGAAAATTGCATTAAAATAGATGGGGAAAAAATAACATTGTGACATTAAATATTTGGGTCGGACTTGCATGCGATTTTATTTTTTCACAATGTTTTAACCTCTTGACTTGAGGTAGTGCTAATGTACTTCTAATGGAAAAGTCGTTAGACATGGAAAATTTTACAATCAATTCAATGAACACGTCTCAAATCAAACATGATTTTTTCACTAAAGTGACAGCCCTATTTTAAAGAGACAAATATCACCTCATAATGGGAAGGTTAATTTCTGTCATTGATCAGAAGGTGCTCCCAAAAAACGAAATGTTAGCATAGTAGTTGGTCGTGTAATATCTAATGATGTGCTCTTTTCAGGTCGTTTGTATCGTTCGGTCCTCGGAATCGGTTGATTGGGGCAGCCGCCAAAAGCCAGGTAAACATTCGTTTAGTTTGAATAAGCAGGATAACACGTTGCATGGTTGTATAATAGTTGTAATTATAATATCTGCTCAAACAAGGTGGTCACAAACTGCAAGAACACCGCGCAGAGTTTCAAGCGATTCCATGGCAGGGCGTTCAGTGACCCTTATGTGCAGACGGCAAAGTCCGGCCTGGTCTTCGATCTCGCTCAGATGCCGACGGGAACCACCGGCATTAAGGTAAGACTAGTGAAGCGGTAGTGAAAATGTCGTCTCTCGATCTCATGAGACTTTTGTTTTTGTAATCAGGCTGTCGAGAGTATATAAAAATTTGGATTTAGATTTATCGGCCGATATATCGGTTATTAGTTTCGGCCAACATGTTTGTATCGGTGGATCCCTAATAAGCTGTAATGAGGTATGTTTTAAAAGCTGCTTCAGACGTGGCTGTATCTCAGTCCTTCATGCTGTCCGTCTCCACAGGTCACGTATATGGAGGAGGAGAAGGTGTTCAGCATCGAACAGGTGACGGCCATGCTTCTGGTCAAGCTGAAGGAGACCGCTGAAGCCGCGCTCAAAAAACCTGTGGCAGACTGTGTCATTTCTGTGCGTATATTCTCTTTTACGTGCCTACTTCTAAATATAGCTAATATATAGTTCACTGGAATAGCATACCATGTTTTACCAATAGCATACCGTGTTTTCCGGAGTATAAGTTGATCGCATCAGTCAAAAAATGCGTCATGAAGAGGAAAAAAAACCATATACAAGTCGCTCTTGACTATACAGGTGAACCTGGAAAAATTAGATTATTGTGCAAAAGTTCACTTAAAAGGTGAAATTAATATATTATATAGACTCATTACATGCAAAGTGAGATTTCAAGCCTTGTTATAATTGTGATGATAATGGCTTACAGCTATTAAAACCTTTTCACAATATTCAAATTTTCAATTGGGGGTTTTTATAAGCTGTAAACCATAATTATCACAATTATATCAAAAGTGAATGTGAATAATCAGATGCGTTTCTGATGCACTTACACAGGTCCCCAGCTTCTTCACTGATGCCGAGAGACGATCCGTCATGGACGCGGCGCAGATCGCTGGCCTGAACTGTCTCAGGCTCATGAACGACACTACAGCAGGTGAAACGCTTGTAATGGATTCATTCACCCAATAATGAGCTGCCTGTCATTGCTTACGCCTGACCTACATAACGGATGGTACATTAGCTGTGTATCCTTCCAAAGTTGTGAAAATTCAATTTATGAGCAAAATTGGAATATTGCATAAAACATTTGCGAGTCAAAGAGAACAAAATCGTCTAAACTAGCGATAAATATCACTAAGAAAAGTGGGAGAAGGACTGAATATAATAACTTTGTTTATAAATCACTTGTGTTTTAGAGCGCGTTTTTGCATTTTTTTAAAGCGTATAGAGGAATTTATTCGGTAAATGTGTTTCCATTGTAGTTTATGTGCATGTTTTGTTATCAGATAAAAAAAAAATTATCTGACCCGAACGACCGCATGCGTGTTTTTTTAATGCATAATTTAAAATTTCATATGCATCTTTGCGTTTCCATCCAGCAGATTTGTATGCGATATCCCAAAATGCACATGAAAATAAGTGGATGGAAACGGCTGTTGTCGGGCCCCCAAAAGGAAAAAAAAATATATAAGCACATTTAGGTATTTCCTTATCCTCATACGGCTTCAGAAGTCTTGAAATTTGGTGTGTAATAGTTTTGTTTAAGGACCAAACCCACACTGTGGTTCTCAAATGCTTCGGCGTCTTTACATTCAAAATACTTAAATGATGATGAGAGCTAACTGTGATTGTCCTCCGCCTAGTTGGCACAACACAAGCGAGGGTGAGTAAATAATGACAAACTTGTCATTTTAGGTGAATCATCATGATTCACGAGGGACAGTAATTAGTGTCTTGGGAAAAAGTTATGTTCTTTCTCACAGTTCATTACTGCGTTCATGTGTTGTTGTTATTTTAGTACTTACAGTGTTTCTGATACATTCCGATGCTCTCTAACATGGATAGATGCACTTTTATGATGGATAGATGCACTTTTAAAATGTATAAATGCACTTTCATGATGAACAGATGCACTTTTATGATGGACAGATGCACTTTTATCATGAATAGATGAAGTTTTATGATGGATAAATGCACTTTTATCATGGATAGATGCACTTTTATGATGTGAGGTCAGATATTGTGCACACTTTTGTGTTATTGTTAAGCCCCACTAAAGGCATAAAGGTTGTAAAGCACCATAAAGTTTCCACACTATATTCCAGGACTACTAAAGTCATTCGATAGCATAATGTGAGGTAAAAATAAATATTTAAGTTAAAGTCAATGGAAGCTCATCTTTCCTCAGTCATGCTCCTTTCAGCATCACACAGTGCGTCGGATTTGTTTACGACAGTAACACTACGACTCTCTTCAAGGACAATGTTCGTATTATTATACTTTATTTTAGATAAAGGTCTATGGTTTTCATAAAATGTGCATCTAATCTATCCATCATAAAAGTGCATCTGCCCATCATAAAAGTGCATCTATTCATGATAAAAGTGCATCCATCCATCATAAAAGAGCATCTATCCATCATAAAAGTCCATCTATCCGGCAGTGGAAATGCGGCTATTGTTCCCATTGTTATACTTTACTTGTAGATAAAGGTCTATGGTTTTCATAAAATGGCTTTATCTAGCTGGAGTTTATATCGCTTTCTAAATCATATTCCTGTTGGATTACAGCAATGGAGGAGAGAGCGCTATGAACTGTTCTTCATGCACACTGTGACTGACATTTAAAACTGTTAAAAGAAAAGGCTCAATAAACTGTTACATAGATATAATAAGCATCAAATATCTCTCCACTTTGTGCTTTAAACTTTTCAATGCGAAGCTCTACTTTGCTTCAAGTGCATCACTGCACACGGGATGCGCAAAATCGCTGTGCTGCTCTTATTGGAGCCTTTCATATTATAATACTGAGGGGAGGTTTGAACACCTGGGGCAAGGGGGCGTGGCCTATAGGGACCCCTCCCCCTGGGGAAATGGGCCTGCCACCACAGAGGAAACACTGACTTACATTGCGTTCATGTTCATCATAGTTGCGCTGGCCTATGGGATCTACAAACAGGACCTGCCGGCTCCCGAGGAAAAGCCCAGGACTGTGGTGTTTGTGGATGTTGGGCATGCTGGTTACCAGGTCTCTGCGTGTGCCTTTAACAAGGGGAAGTTGAAGGTACATTTTTTTTTTTTGTCACCATGCATTATAATATACATTTTAGTATTAATTTTTAACTGATCACAGGATGATTATCAACCACGGGTGTGTTTACTATTGTCAGGTTTGGTTCAATTAAGGGGAGACAGGGCAGGCCAAAACTTTTTCTTTCTTTTTTTTTACCCTCACTGGTCAATTTTGAGATTTTGGGCTAGTTGTCTTCAATAACATATCATCTTTCAGACTTGTGGTGAAAAAAACCCCTCCAAAATACACATTTAGGTCTTTATTTGACTATACTTTGGCTTTTTGCATCTGTAGATTTCTAATAAATTCAACAAAAGTTGGCATTATAAATCATCCCGCTGTCTCAAAATAGGTTTTTGATTATCCTATGTATGTATTATCCTATCTATATCTATATTCTCAAGGTTTTTAAAGAGGCGTGTGTTCAGATTCTGATTTATACAACATTTTATACCTAAAAACAGGGTGAAAAGGGATTTCTTATGGTTGTTGACAGTTTTTTCTGTGATTAAAAAGAGCGATTTCCAAAATCCCCTCTGTAGAAACCTTCGACTTTGATACAGCAACAAAATTAAACAAGAATTTTAAATCTGGCTTTATCCAATGTTCAGATTCCTCTTCTGGAAATCTATGCAAATTAGCACATATTTAATGAGAAGAGATAATGCATAATTTGCATATTTAAACATAAATATTCTAAAAACGTATTTGTCTTAATGTCAGTAATCAACAGGGGACGTTTCATGCTGATATCTATTAGTTTTTTTTCTAGGGCTGTGCAAAAATTAATTGCAATTAATCCCATCCAAAATAAAAGTCTGTGTTTACATAATATATTTGTGTGTGCTGTGTATAATTATTTTGTATATATAAATACATATGCATGCATGTATATATTTAAGAATTATTTGCGCTTAAATTCTGTATATACAGTATATATAAATACAAAATCTATATTATATAAATATAAATATTTTATATATGAATAACACATTTTCTTAAATTTATACATGTATGTGTGTGTATTTATATATACAAAATAATTATATACAGCACACACAAATATATTATGTAAACACAGACTTTTATTTTGGATGCGATTAATCGCAATTAATTTTTGCACAGCCCTAGTTTTTTTCCTGTTCACCTGGGGTGTTTGCCCTTAAAACACATTTACATGCACACCAATGCGCTGATAACTACCAAAAATCAAATTAATAACCCGGCAATGCAAGTAAGCACGTCTACCAGCTGCATTAACAGGTCCTTGCCCCGTGGTGACGTCAACACAAGCATCCATCATGCATTTCACTGATTATTATGTGAGTTGTGAGGTTGAATAAAGCTTTGAAAACCTCCGACAACTAAACAAGTCCATCTAAAATGTTTAAACCTTAATGAAGTTTTTTTTTAAACAGGAAATCAATTCAATTGTTATTTATATTTATTTATTTCAAACATGTAAAATGACAAAAACCTAATAAACGAATACTCATCAAAACAGAAAGCAAAAAATAAAACAATATAAAAAATAAATATTTAAAGTGCCAAGGTACTTTCTAAAGCTGATTTGCTCTATTTTGACATTGCTTCCATAGACATCAGTGTTTATATCTGAACTATAAACTATTCCAGTGCTTCTGTGATAATATGATTACGACAGAAATAATGATGCTGTGCAGTACTAAAGGCAGTACTAAAATCCTTGAAAATAGCCAGATATAATTTGTTGTCAGTATCGCACATCCTTAGTTGTACACGTTACGTGAATTGTTTTGAAAGTGTTTAGTTTTGTACATCTCCAACTGTTGTGTTTGTCCTTTATCGGCTGATTCATGCAGGTTCTGGGTTCAGCGTTCGACCCTGAGCTGGGAGGTAAAGACTTCGACGAGGTGCTGGTCCAGTACTTCTGTGAGGAGTTTGCTCAGAAGTACAAGCTGGACGTGCGGTCGAAGCCCCGCGCTCTGGTGCGACTCTACCAGGAGTGCGAGAAACTCAAGAAGCTCATGAGTGCCAACTCCTCCGACCTGCCGCTCAACATCGAGTGCTTCATGAATGACATCGACGTCAGCAGCAAACTCAACAGGTTAGCATGCACGGGCAATGCCAGGAGCTAAATCTGGTGCCCGGCGTCAGGGGAGTGAATTAGAAACTGAGCAGTGAAGGGGAACTGAGAGGTGGATTCTAATAATATCCTGATGACTCTTCTGTTCCAGAGCCCAGTTTGAGGAGCTGTGTGCGGGGCTGTTGGCCCGGGTGGAGAATCCTCTGCGCAGCATCATGGAACAAACCAGTGAGTACACGCGCTGTTCCCGGGGCTTTCCCGCTCGCCGCGGAGTGATGGGAACCATAGACTGTTAAATAAAGATGGACGGCGCACCCTCACTCTCTTCCTTTGGTGAAAAGTGAAGCCGCCAAAGTCCCAATATGGCGCTGACATCTTGCGCTGGTTTGAGTAGTGAGCGTAAAGTGCACCCGCGATATCAAGGTCCCGCCCACACTCGCGCAGAAACCGTTTACTGCTCAACAACTCATTGTGTCAGTGTGAAATAAACCGTTAAGGAAATGTAGAAATTAAAGCTGAAGCTCCAATCTTCTCCCGAAAATCCAAACTTATTTCAAAAAGCAAATTATTTCCCCAAAATTACAGAAAACATTTGCCTCATGTCCATTACCTTACGTGGAGAGGGCGTGGTTTATGAGCTATACTGGCACCAGCCACCAGGGGGCGATCGAGACACTGATTTTATCACGATTCTTTTGCATGTTGGTTTTACTATTTTGCTACAGCCAAACTAATGTCCCTATTTTAAAAACAAAGCCTTACAAGGAAGCAAAATATAAAAAGAGTGGGAGACATTTAGATAAAAATCTTTGTCATTAGTTTCTTCGTTATTAAAAAATAAGAGCAAATATAAACATTACATATACACAACATAATCTACAAATGAAATAAAAAACGGTGCTTTATGTTTTCAGCTACAGTGTATTTAACAGCTGTAAATTAAATGACTAAATATTAAATTAAACTACGTAGACTTAGCGCAGTATTACGCATTGATTCTTATTAAAGCTACTGTTAAAGTTCTCAGTCAAGCGCGGCGAGTGATTTATGTCTATGTTTTTTGTTGTTTTAGTAACATTAAAGGGATCGTTCCCCCAAAAATGTCATCATTTACTCTCTCGAGTTGTTTTGAACCTGAATAAGTTTCTTTCTTCTGTTGAAGATAAGTTATTTTGACCCTTTGGCAGAACTGCACCTGAGAGAATACACGATACTACTACGATATTTTTTCAGAAGCAGATCGTGGAGACATTTAATCGAAAAGCATAATATCGTGAGTTTTTTTCCTCCTGCAAACCAGGGTTGAAGAAAGAGGACATCTATGCGGTGGAGATCGTCGGCGGCGCCTCCAGGATTCCAGCCATCAAAGACAAAATCAGCAAGTTTTTCGGAAAGGAGCTGAGCATGACGCTGAACGCGGATGAAGCCGTGGCCAGAGGATGTGCACTGCAGGTTAGTGCTGCGCTCGTTTCATTGGGCCTTTTGTCACTCGTTTGTAGGGCTGTATCGATAACCCAATATTGCTGTACCACACTATTGGCAGAGGAATGCAAGTAACCGCGATATCCGAACAAAGGATGGTGGCTACACCCATCGTACCATGTGTATTGAATGTAAACTGTTCTGTGATTTATCAATAAAATCGCTTAGAAACTGAAAAGTTCTAGCATATATTTCTTAGCAATCGCTCTCTAGAACTAATACATCTATATAAATGTAATATTTACTGTGCTACTTTATTCTGTGAGAAATATAACGAGCCAAAGACAATACAACTGATAAAAATAAGCTCCTATGTAGGGGCAATAGCCTTGTCATCGACTCTACTTTAATCACATTAATGTCGACATTCATATATATCATATATACCACCATATACGTATACACGATACCACCAAATCAGCTCATGTTGGTAAAATGGCACAGGTTTTTTTTTTTTTTTGCTCAATTTTATATTTCTCCAAATGATATTACGACACAATAGATTACAAATTATTAACACTTTTCTTTTTTCACATAAAAAAAACTAAACATAAATAAAAAATAAACAAATAAATAAATAAACAAATAAAAATTATTAAAAAAAAAGAAAAAAATTATCTATATATACACACACACACACTTATACATACACGTATAAGAAAATGGCATACATGAGTGCGCACAGACACATTTTAATCATGTATTAACCAGGAGGTAGAGTTTTAAGAGATTTAAAGTAGGCTATAAAGGGATGCCATTTACTGAAGAAGTAGGTCTTACGAGAACATCTAACTTTTTCCAGTTTCAGAAAGAATATAGTATCCACTAACCATTGGGAGGTTATGGCACAGGTTTTTAAATATCTGAACGTACACTCTTAACATCAGTCGATCAAGCATTATATTATGATACTCTGATAATCAGGCATTATTTAATGATAAAACTTTAATTGAACTAAAACTTGGTAACCATGTAAGAATGCATTTTGTCATTTTACCTGAACTCAGGACTGGTGGTGGTGCTTAAGATATTGTTGGTCATTCAGTGTTTCTGTAAAAAAAATAGATAATAGTAATTATTATAAAAAGATAATAATACTACCAATAACAATATAATCCGCTCTAAGGGTTGATGAGCTGCTGTGTTCATGAATGTTAATCCCTTTATAAGCGTTCGCTCAAATTGCTGAAATCAAAACCGGGGCGGAAATAGATGAGCGCCAGCCAATGAGATTTGCGCATTACCAGAGAAACCGGCATAACTTCTGCTTGTTCTCAGAAGCTGAGCAATTCCAGATCAACTCTGCTATTTTAACAGGGAAATACAACAAAGAATATTGCGCGTCGATTCTGCGCTTGGTATGCAAGACGGTATTACCATATAGCGGTTATTACTGTTTAATTTTATAATCTACAGCTTTGGTGTGAAATTTCATCACCACACCATTGTGTAGATAATGAGTCTAGTGCTGCAAACCGATAGTTCTCCTTGGGGGAGGATCATTAGGTTTTGTGAAAGTGATGTTTTTCAAGCCCTTGACTCATTTTTCTGATTAATTTGTGATATAACATTATAAATGTAATTCTTATGACTTGTTATGCTTGCATGTAGTTCATTCCCCTTTATCACTTTTCATGATGACAACCTTCAGTGTTTCCAACTAACTTGTTTTGTTGTTCCTCAGTGTGCGATCCTGTCGCCCGCCTTTAAAGTGCGCGAGTTCTCCATCACAGACGTGGTCCCGTACCCCATCTCTCTGAAGTGGACCTCGGCCGCTGATGAAGGCGTCAGGTGCGTTCTCGGCTCTCTGCGGGACACGATTAACTCGTTAAAGGGGTAGGTGAACTATCCCTTAAAGTTAGTTCACCGTTGTAATAGTCATGCTCTCTTGCTCTGCAGTGATTGCGAAGTTTTCCCGAAGAACCACGCCGCACCGTTCTCTAAAGTGCTGAGTTTCTACCGGAAGGAGCCCTTCGCTTTGGAGGCCTACTATAACAATCCGAAAGAGTTGCCGTATCCAGATGCTACCATAGGTATGTTGGGAACGCTCTTTGCTTTGCGTAACTGGATTCTAGCACAGTAAAACGCTAAAACTGCAGCACCTGTTTATAACAACCATAAATGTACTGTGCGTTGGTGTGGATGCTAGTTATCTTTCTTGTTGTTAACTGGCCTTGATTGCAGTTTTAGTTGTGTATATATTTACACACACATGTGGCCTTGTGAATGAACACAGGCGATTATACTGAAAGTGCCCCTGTTATGCTTTTTCTAATATTACCTTTCATGAAATAAAGCTGTTGGTGAATGTAAAAGCTCTGCAAAGTTTTAAGATAAATAAACGTATTGTCTCCTAAAAGAAACAATTAATTCTTAACTTCCCAAACAAGTTGTCAGCAATGTCAGTCTCACTTCTTGTTACAAACCTATGTAACAAAGAAACAAATTTGCATAATGCCAGCCGATGGTTTTCATTGGCTGCCTGCCCGTGAACAACCTCTACTTTGCCCCGCCCTCAAATGCTGTAGTTGTAGCTGAGACTGGAAGAGACGTTACGAAAGCAAATTGCTCCTCTTTGAACTTCAAAAAGATGAGGACTTGCGCTGGAATTGCGGCCATCTGACCAATCAGAGCAGAGTAGACCAATCACAACTGACTGGGCCATCTGACCAATCAGAGCAGAGTAGACCAATCACAACTGACTGGGTCAGCTGACCAATCAGAGCTGAGTAGACCAATCGCAACAGAGTGGGTCATTTGACCAATCAGGGTAGACCAATCACAACAGACTAGGCCATCTGACCAATCAGGGTAGACCAATCACAACAGACTAGGCCATCTGACCAATCAGAGAAGAGTAGACCAATCACAACAGACTAGGCCATCTGACCAATCAGGGTAGACCAATCACAACAGACTGGGCCATCTGACCAATCAGGGTAGACCAATCACAACAGACTAGGCCATCTGACCAATCAGAGAAGAGTAGACCAATCACAACAGACTAGGCCATCTGACCAATCAGAGCAGAGTAGAACAAACAACTGACTGGGTCATCTGACCAATCAGAGCAGAGTAGACCAATCACAACAGACTGGCAAATCAGAGCGGAGTCAAAAAGAAGTGTTTTGGAGAGACTCCATCTTTCAATGGTTTTCAGACTTTTTAAGAAATCAGGTAATGCTGTAATGTAGATTGAGAAAATGAAAGTGTGTTTTGGCCCTTGATGCATTGAAGCCCTCAAAACAAAATTAGGAACCTTTAAAATAGCATAATAGTGGCACTTTAATTGAGACAACCGGAAACTGATTAATTGAGCTTCCCTGCTGACTGATGTGTGCCTGTCCACAGGCCAGTTTAACGTCCAGAATGTGGTTCCTCAGCCGTCGGGCGAGAGCTCGAAGGTGAAGGTGAAGGTGCGTGTGAACGTGCACGGGGTGTTCAGTGTGTCCAGCGCCTCCCTGGTGGAGGTCCTGAAAACTGCCGAGGGAGAAGAACCCATGGAGACGGACACCCCGGCCAAAGAGGACGAGGTAAAGACGCCACTGTGCGCATGCTCCCTACATCAGCCGGATTTAAAATGAGCAAAAACTGTTTGATTATAAACTAGAAGCTTGTCTTTATTGCGTTCACATGCGCACCGACTACTCTTCAGTGTGTGTGTGTGACGGCAGCCATAAGATCATTGATTGTATTTGCTCCTTAAAGAACAAGATGCACGTGGATCAAGAGGCACAGAAGGCTCAAGCTGATGAACAGAAAGAACATGCTGACAAGAAATCAGACACTGAAGACATGGAGGTGTGTGTGAATACACTTGCACACCAACACTATATGCTAGGGGTGGACACAAACGTGACGTGTCGTGTGTACCTCGGGATTGAAGTCACGGTTCGGTACGGCAGGGGGAGAAAACTAAACTAAAAAAATAAAGTGTTTTTTTAATTGAATTTGTATATATGTTAAAAAAAATTCTATTATGATTAATTATCTTAAGGATTAAAATAAAACTATCTTAGCTAATGCTCTAAACGATATAGGGAGACCTTAATTACACATTGCTATAATATTAAAGGTTACATTTAACAACATAGCCCAAGTTATTAAATTCAGTTGCTATTTATTTTTAGTTTTTATAACCAACACTCAAAACAACACGTACTGTAAAAGTACATTTTCTACTTAAATTAATTTTTTAAAAATAACTTCCATGACTTATGTATTTAAACGTACATTGAATAATCTAGACATTACTGACAGGTTAAGTAAATATAATGAATAGGCTAATATAGTGCATATATCTCTAGAGTTTATTTCTCTACTATCGACACTAAATCCCTGAGATAAATGTAATGCAACGCGAGATATTATTCTTAAGCTGTTGTTATTGATATCTTTCCAAAGTTTAACCCTCTGGGGTTGTTCGTTTCAGAGTCACACTCGGGGTGTTCGGGTCCAAATGGACCCAAAGGGCGGGATTCATATTATTTTTTTTTTTTTACTCGTTTTTTTATAATATTTTTTCTTTTCTTTTTTGGTGTTTTGAGAATTTCAAAAAAAAAATAAAAAATTATAATTAGTATTAATGCAATAATTGTGACAATTTTCCCCCATTGAACATAATAGAAAAAGCTTAAAAAGCTGTATTTCATTTTAGAGTCAAGCCTAGGCCTCATAAAAGCAATTTTTGAAATGAGATAGATGCCATCTGGTGGACAAACTGAGCATTTTATAAATGCAAAACGCATGTATAATCTGAATTTTTTTGGTGTGTTTGTGTATAAAAGTGTGTTAGTGTGTGTGTGGATGTGTCTGTTTTGCACTCTTGATGTTTTATAGATTCACCCCCTTTCACTGTTGTGTGCTTTTTTTTCAAGATCGTGGCTGATTTGTAGATTGTACGCACAAAAAAACTCAGTATTTTCACATTTTTGCCATTTTCCCATTCATTTTCCATTTAGACCCGAACACCCCAAGTGTGACTATTTTTTTTACAACCACTTAGACTATTCACATCCTGTCCCTAATTTTTTTGGGTGTTCAAATACCAAATACCAACAAAGTCACCAAATTTCGGACCATTCCGAGGAAGTTGTGATTTAAGAAAAAATTGATTTATTTATTTATTAATATTTATTTAAATTCTTTGGGTCCATTTGGGCAGAACAACACCAGAGGGTTTAACGCTAGTTGAGAGATAACATAGCGATCATTGTCTCTTCTGCGCTTTTTACTCGTAGCAAACAGCGTTGCATTGCTCCACGCTCCCTTCTGGATTGCAGTGTGTATCGTCTGTGACTGACTGTAGATGTCATGTGACTCGATGAACCGAACCGTGTCATTGTGGCGAATGCTTGTACCGTTACACACCGACCAAAATATACACAACTACAACAAATGCTTAAATTTTAAAAGCATGGATTGACCGCATTGTCAGCTTAAAATGAATACTAACTTTCCATGTGATGTGAAATGGTCCACTTGCACATCAATGACAAAAGATATGGGAGCTTATTCCCACTGCTCTACAACACTTAAAGCAGTATTTCACTTCAGAATTATAATCTCCTGATCATATACTCACCCCACGTCATCCGAGATGTCCGTGTTGTTCTTTCTTCAGTGGAAAAGAAATGAAGGTTTGTGAGGAACACACTCCAGGATGTTTCTCCATATAATGGACTTCAATGGTCCAGATGTGAGTTTCAGTGCAGCTTCAAAGTCTCGACACGATCCAGCCGAGGAATAAGACGCATTATATACTTTAGACACACTACACATTTATATACTTTTACCACTAATGCTGGTCTTGAACGAGCTGTGATGTGACACACATTACGTCATCACGTTGAAAGGTCACGTGTGATGTGTGACCTAGTGTTTACTAAGCCAATGTGCAAAGGCCCTGTTTACACGAGAACGCTCACGGGTATAAATGTAAAAATATTTTATCGGATTTGCCTTTCGTTTACACAGCGTTTTTGGGGCTTAAAAACACAAAAAAGTGAAACCACCCTCCAGAGTGGAAATCTTAAACACGCTCCACCGCCGCGTTCCCTTTTAACGGGTAAAAACGCAAACGTCTGCTAGACCAGGAAGGTTGTACGCAGTAGAGCCCGACCGATAAAGGATTTTGAAGGACGATACCGATACAAATATTTTTTTGTTTTAAAACCCGATATATCGGCCGATATTTTTTTTTTTTTTTCAAAAACGTGCAACAAAACATTAACAGATTTCCCTAACATTAGTTATTTGTAGTTATTTATGAGTTTTAACTACAATAATATGATAATGCATTTTAAAAAGAAGCTTGTTTCTTTTATTCTCACAACAGAACAGACTGATGATAGTGGCATTAGCTAGCTTTGTGGTTAGCTAGTCTATGATGAGTCATAATTTAGCAATGGATAACGTCATACTGCAAATTGTAAAACATTCATTTTCAATATAACAAGCCATGGAAAGATGATGCGTCTCATTGCTATAACTGTCACACGCTATTAAAGAAATACTTCAGTCACATTGTCAAAAGTTAAAAGGACAGTCAGTCAACTACACTGTAACAATGTAACGTAACGATTGCTAGCTAATTCTGCTTCACTCTCGGCTTATTTAACAGCAAAACTGGACATGATAGTCACAAATTTTGTCGCTTATTTGAGTTGAGAGAACTGATGGAGATGTATATATTGTTTTTCAATAATGTATGTCTCGTGACCAACTCAACGAGTGTTGCCAACAGGAACGGTGTAGAGCGCCCTCTGGTGGACAAACTATACAACTCCGACACTCATGACATGGTTCAAGCGCGTTTCGTCCGTTTTTATGTTATTTTTGAAATATTAATTTATCGGCCATTATAACTGCCGATACCGATAGTTTGGAAAATGCCTAATATCGGCCTGGCTCTAGTACGCAGGTGCGCGGACTTGGTATTGTCGTGTGGCAGTGCTTCACATCGCACCTGGAGTGTGTTCCTCAAAAACCTTCATTTCTTTTCGACTGAAGAAAGAAAGACATGAACATCTCGGATGACGTGCGGGAGAGTAAATTATCAGGAATTTTAATTCTGAAGTGAACGTTCCCATTGAAAATTCCCACAATCCCTTTCAGACTGCGCCAGAGGAGAAGACGGGAGACAAACATGAGAAGAAGAACGATCAGCCCCCGCAGGCCAAGAAACCCAAAGTGAAAACAAAGACGGTGGATCTGCCCATCGAGAGCAGTCTGCAGTGGCAGCTGGCCAGCGACATGCTCAATCTGTTCGTGGAGAACGAGGTATGGGACACTGAGACTGCGGATCAATCGCCCGTCGGACGACTCCCGGGTTCTGACTGTGTGTGTGTGTGTGTGTGTTCTTGCCCACAGGGGAAGATGATCATGCAGGATAAGCTGGAGAAGGAGAGGAACGATGCAAAGAACTACGTGGAGGAGTACGTTTATGAAATGAGAGACAAACTGCATGGAGTGCTGGAGAACTTTGTCAGTGAGGCTGTGAGTGTCTGCATGTGTCTGTTTATTCAGAAAGATGCCTATGCACCTTATAACTGATGGTTTTTATCAACGAAGCATTTTTATTCTCAATTCAGGAACGGGATTCTTTCTCCTTAAAACTGGAGGACACTGAAAACTGGTTGTATGAAGAAGGAGAGGACCAGCAGAAGCAAGTGTACATTGATAAACTGGCCGAGTTGAAGGTAAACGTGCGTGCCCGAATTGTTCAGATTTGAACCTGTTGGAAAGAATGAATGATTGAACAAACATAAACTCTTTCCTTTTAGAAACTGGGAGAGCCTATTCAAACCCGATACTTCGAGAACGAGGAGCGGCCTAAAGCGCTGGAAGAGCTCGGACGGCAAGTCCAGCAGTACATGAAAGTTGTAGAGGCTTATAAGGCAAAGGTAATCCATTTTCAAATCTGTAGGGGTCACGGGACAAATGTTTTAATGACAAAAAAACAAGTGAAACTGAAAATTTGAATGTGGTGCAAAAGTTCATTTATTTCAGTAATTCAACTTTAAAGCTGAAACTAATATATTATATAGACTCATTACATGCAGAATGAGAAATTTCAAGCCTTTATTTATGTCGATGATTACGGCTTACAGTTTATGAAAACCCCAAATTCAAAATTAGAATATTGTGAAAAGATTTCCATATCTGTAATCCATAATCAAAATTCATAACCAACAGATAAAGGCTTGAAATATTAGGGGTGTAAGAAAAAATCGATAGACTTGAGTATCGCGATATTTTATTTTGCAATACTGTATCGATTTTCAGAAACGCAATATCGATTTTCTTTCTTTTTTTTTTCTTTTTTGTGGCTATGCATAGACGCACCACTAGCCTAACGTTTTGCTAGAAACAACATAGCTATGGCTGAACCCCATGTCAAGACCGGCTCCTGCTCTATTCCTTTCGGCATGTTAATCAATGTTGCGTTCATTCACACCGCAAGCAGTAGCCGCGCGTAAGCGTAGAGCAAGACCGTCGCGTGAGCAATAGTGAAATGGGGGTTTCGGCAGAGAGTCTATAACGGCGTCGCACACCGGACGAGAAGCTCAGCGCCACATCTTTAAAATTCGAACACATTATTCTCTATGAGTGTACACACACCGGCGGCGCCATTCAGCGTCTGTGACTGTCCGCGGCGCCCAGCAACGCCTCAGGACAGTGTTCAAAATCCTGCTGTGCCACAGAGCGCCATTTACATAGTTTTATATAAAATTTTAATTATTTTTGTCTCAAATCGTTGCTAATGTATCCTGACTTCGCCTTTTCCTGCAACATGCATTTAGTTTTGCATCCATTATCAGAAATCAGCTGCTTGAATGACAATTGCCGATGGTAAACTGGTAGTTTGATTTTCTGAGTATTGAATTGTTTACCTAAAGTAAACTTGTTTGACTTTAATTCACATCATGTCTTTTTTTTTTTTTTTTTTAATATTACTTTTTCTAAAATTATAGTCCTTCTTGAAAAAATAATCCCAATATATCGCCTTATGGACAGTATTGCAATATATTGAGTCTATATAATATATTACTTTCACCTTTAAGTTGAATGACGGCGCACTGTGTGAGAGAGGGCTGTGATCAGCGCATACACTAGCATGATCGACTGGGAGCGGTGTACTACTGCAATAGGGCCACTTGGAGGAGCCAGAGGAGCTTTTTTTTTTGTCTCATGTTCCACTGTCAGGACATAAAGACAGTTTTAAAAAAATATGTAAAAATATTTTTTCTTACCTTCTGCAGCTTTAAACTGATAATATTGCTGAATAATCGTTTGTTTTCTAAACCCCAGTTGTTGTGAGATTTGTGTTGATCCCGTTGTGTGCCCGCAGGATGAGCTGTATGATCACCTGGAGGAGCTGGAGGTCATGAAGGTGGAGAAGCAGGTGAATGAAGCCATGACCTGGATGAACAACAAGATGAACCTGCAGAGCAAACAGAGTCTTAGCCAGGACCCGGCGGTTAAAGCCCACGAGATTCAGGCCAAAACCAAGGTACAAACCTCACGAAGCGCTTGACATGTGGATTGTGGATTATCCATACATGTCAGCATTTTTCAAAAGTATTGTATTCAAATATTTGGGCTCATAAAAACTGAACATTTGTTTATTCAAAGCGGTTCACTTGTAAATGTTTTTAACTCCAGTGGTACTGGTGGATTCTCACCGGAAACTCAAGCATGTATTTGCGTCATTCCGTCACATCTGTACACACACACACACATCTGTACACATAAAGAAGAGTCGTGGCTAGTAGGCTATGAGTTTGAGGATGTTGGAGGTGGAGATTTATAGCTTTTCTTGCAGCACTTGATAAAATTAAACTTATTAATTTGATGGCAGATCCAGAAAGGTTCAGACGACAATCACCAGTGACACCTGGAGTCTCGCCCGCTGTAAAATGATTTCTAATCAAAAGTGGATGTTCAGACATTTTCTGGTCAAAATTATGCTGGTCACACTTCCAAAAAGAATAATCTGTGATTCTGAATCCCCGAATCCACACCGGCGGCGACTGACACACACACACACACACACACACACACTCTCCTCCAACAGTGTGTTCATCCGCGCTGTGCCGTGCCGAGGCACAACTCGCGTAAAGTTGATAATTCCGCGATTGGCAGATTTCGAACAGAGACTGCCATTATAACTCATGACCTCAACTGCAGTGGTACACATTGAATTTGTCATTAAAATGTTATAATGGCCTCATGACCGCCAATGTCGAAACCAACCCCATGACAGTTTAATGTAATGTTAACCAATAAAGCTAATTTGATCATTAATCTGCTATGACCGTTTGTGTTGTCTTAGTAATGTCAAGTTGTCATGACAAAGACATCTCAAACAATGTCATAATTGAGCAAATGACAGTTGTCATAAACATGCATAAACCCCATGTGTCATGTCATGATAATGAAGGTGTCATGTCACCCCTTCAAGAAAAGTGTTACGATCGTTTATAGGCAGATGTTATACGATTTAATTCCAATCCACTAGTTTAATGCCCCACAGCGCCACCCAGTGCTTGTTATTGTAATTGCGAGTTAATGCTTGTTTGGGATTTATCATGGATTGACTGCGTTAACGGCCTTGAAATTTGAATAGTATTTTATGTTTTGTATAATAATAACAGATCGAAATACCTGTAGTCTGAATCTTCTAACTGCAACTTCTCCGTTGTACAGGAGCTGTATTCTTCTTGTAATCATATCGTCAGCAAACCGAAGCCCAAAGTGGAGCTTCCGAAGGAGACGGCGGCCGAACAGAACGGTCCCGTTAACGGACAGGAGGCTTCAGAGACCCAGCCGGAGAAGAGCCGAGTCCCGGAGACGCCGGACGCCAAACTCCCCGAGATGGACATTGACTAACTCCTCTTATAAGCCTCTGCGCTCCCATTAAACACATTACCCAATCCAGCAAATGCTCTCTTGCTCTTGGTGGCATGTTTCTTTCTTTTGTGTTTCACTGTTTAAAAACAGGATACATGGAGATCCGATATTTTTTGTAACATGTAACATGTATAGGAGGAGAACTTGTCTTTGTTGCTCCCGTGTCCTGGAATAAAAACAGGCATTGGGGATTATAAAGTGAGATGAGCTTGTTTAGTGAAAAAACATGTTTCTGTTCTATTCTACTATTGGACGAGTTTATTTGCATTGAAACTTAGTTGCGATTCTTGAAGTTTACGACCAACCGAAGCACTGAAACCGAGGAGGAAGACCTGCGGACTCGAGGCAGAGGCGACGCGCTGCGCTGTGTGTTGAAGTAGAGTTACTGTTATGCAGTATTTGGTTGTGAGAGGTGTGTCATTCTGTGGCCAGTTTTTGGGTTTAGCCATGTTTGTTTTACTTTTCTACTCTGCAACCTGTATAAATGAGGGAGACCACGATTTGGTGTCCATCCAGTCATAAATGATGAGAACTATAAATAAATCATTCGATTTGGTATACAGACAAGGATTTATTGGAATGCATAACTCTTATGAGATATTGGATGTACATATTGGTTCTCTGTTTGTGTGATTTATTATTAAGTACTGCATTATTGATACTTAAGTACATTTTCATTGTCACTGAATTAGTATGTTTTTTGCTGATTTTATAAAAGTATTGTAAAATAAATAAAACGGTGGACGAGTGATATGAAGAATAGATGATTTCCCATCTCTCACATACAACAGTTACTTTATTATGTGCTTGATTCGATTAGAATATTCCCTTAAAGTCGACATGAAAATCAAAATTTACAATTCTTTTTTTATATACGTAATATTGTAGTGTTTATTATAAATTATTTATCTGTGCTCTTATTTTTTTTAATTCACGTGCCTTCATATTCTCGACCACATCAAATTTGTAAGAATAGACAATTAAAATAATAGAGGATGTCACTCGCTTGCCCAAGTTGTTTTCCCTGCAAAGATGTGATGACAGCTTTATATGACGTCATTTCATTTTTCAGGAAAGTCGAATATAACTGGGTTGACAAATTGAGGGACTAGCCAAGAACCTTTTAATTGCTTAATTAAATATATTAATTGAAAAGAATAATTATATAGCCTACATTAGAGAAACATTATTAATAATATGCCAAAAATGTAAAAAAAAAAATAATAATAAAAATAAAAAAAAGATATCCTAGTATTTATCATGAAATTGGGCCTGGGGACAACAAAAATGTATCTATGAGGGTTCAATATGCTGTAAAATGTCTCAAATTACGATATTTTTAAATCTACTTCAATATACTTATTATTCAAATTGTCTTATTTATGATTAACAGCTCAGTTCAATATTTAAAGGCAGTAAGATTTATGTGACACAAAAGTCACCGAATCCGAGGAATGACGACTGAATCCACTTTTTAACGGTAATTTGTTTTATAACATGCTAATATAAATGCGGAATCAATGTATGAGGAGTCCTGTGGACATTTGTCTTGTTTTACACTTACTTATTTTTTTATTTTTTTAACGACTGAGAAAAAAATAATAATAAAATGTGCTAGTAACATAAGAAGAAGAAGGGGGTGTATTTTTGTAATATTTAAAAATATGTTGCAAATTAAATTGCGAGGATTGCAAATAAATAAATAATATCGATTCACTATTTCCCTATCTCGCCATTAGGTGGTGAATTCGTGTATGAAAACCATTTTTTTACAGTCTATGAAAACTAACACTGATGAAACAGAGCGGAATGATGTATTTAAACGTAACCCAGGTGTTTGGACTCACCCTGTGCATTTAAATATATATATTACATATAAATATATTATATATAAAAAAAAAATTACCGGTGACTTTTATTTTGCCTTTGCAAAATTGAGTTGTTGCTGAGCTCACACGAATCTTCTTCACACAGTGCTGGAGTCTCTAGGCTGCTATGAATGATCGGTTTGTTAAACCAGGTAAGATATAAATAATAGTACATGTATTTATAACCGTATATAATTTACAATCTTACATATTATGTGTCGGTGTCACATATTCGTGTGAGTAATCAGCAGAAGTTAATGTTGTCAACACGGTGTCCACCTTCACTCTCATTCATTCCTCTCAACTTTTCGTGTCATTACTGTGAGTTGTAAACAAGGACACGAACAATCTAATGCAGAAAACCGCGATAGAACAAGAATCAACTTAATACGCATTGATTATTAAAGAAATGTGTGTGAGAGTGTTTCCATGCGACAGCTCGTGACGTGGCATCTGGTCTCAGTTAAAGACACATAAAAACACGAGTCTGTAAACTACATTTATAAATCACAGCAGTGTTGCCTGGTCATTAAAAAAAAAAACATACCCGAGCTGAGGGAGATAACCAGCCCAACATTGTAAAGTTCAGTGCGATTCCCTCCCAGAAAATAGTGTTGCTTTTTACTGCAGTTTCTTTCAATGTTGTTAAACAAATGAATGCCATGATTAAAGGGTTAGTTCACCCAAAAATGAAAATTAAGTCATTAATTACTCACCCCCATGCTGTACCAACCCCGTAAGACCTTCGTTCGTCTTCGGAACACAAATGAAGATATTTTTGACTGGCTCTTGACGGCCCATAAAGTCATTAAAGAAAAGGTTTGAATATTCCATGTGCCTACAGCGGCTCAATTATAAGTTTATCAAGCGACGAGACTACTTTTTGTGCGAAAAAAACATAAATAACGACTTAATTCGACTATTCTATTACTTCCTTATGGGGCACATGCGCGAGAACTGAGAGGACGTTCTTCTCCTTCGACTAACTTTTGTTATTGTTACCTGCTGCTCCGCTTAGGAGTTTTACCGCCCCCTACCGTATAAGATAATGATCCATATATAAGGCGCTCCGGATTATAAGGAACACTGTCGTTTTTTGAGAAGATTAAAGGCTTTTAAGTGCACCTTGTAGTGCGGAAAATACGCTAATTGAAAAGCGTATGTACAGCGCGCATCTTCCTCTGCTTGTAAACAGAAAGTTCTGCGCTTCCAGCTATATCAGCACATCATCTTATACGGTAGGGGGCGGTAAAACTCCTAAGCGGTGAGCAGCCGGTAACAAAAAGTAGTCGAAGGAGAAGAACGTCCTCGTCTCAGTTCTCGCGCATGCGCCCATAAGGAAGTAATAGAATAGTCGAATTAAGTCGTTATTTCTGTTTTTTTCGCACAAAAAGTAGTCTCGTCGCTTGATAAACTTATAATTGAGCCGCTGTAGGCACATGGAATATTTAAACCTTTTCTTTAATGACTTTATGGGCCGTCAAGAGCCAGTCCCTTAGGCAGGCTATGGAAGAGTGATCTAGCTCTCAGATTCAATCAAAAATATCTTTATTTGTGTTCCGAAGATGAACGAATGACTTAATTTTCATTTTTGGGTGAACTAACCCTTTAAGTTTTGCCCGATTACTCTGCCTTAGTGTGTGTGTGTGTGTGTGTGTGTATACACACTCAGCTACAGAACTTTTAGTTCCCAAAACTTAATGAAAAGTCCTAATAATAACTATTAGAGCAAGTTCTCTTAAGGAGGTGGTTGCAAAAAATAATAAATAAGCAAATAAAAAAAATAAATCCACAAAATTCTACATAAATAAATATGCATATTCCTGCATAAATAAATATATAAATACGCATATTCCTGCATAAATAAATATATAAAATGAATATTTTGGGACTGTTTTATGACAGTCCGGATCCCTTATTGAGCGCAGAAGAAGACTAAATGAGCTGAGGGTTCATGATGTTCAGTGGACACAGAGAAGTCTTGTTTTCACTGTCTGTTGTGGAAAATCCTGTAAAGTTGCTCAGATAATGTTGCTTTCTCCTCAGGCAATCAGGAGCATGGCTGGAACGACCCGCCGCAGTTCTCCTACGGCCTGCAGAAAGATCCAGGAGGACCGAAGCGAAATCTTCTCAACAAGAGGGTACATGCACCCCAACTCACAGGTCAAGATGATTAAACCTCTTGATTTGGAATTTTGTATCAAAATTTATAGGAAAAGAAAGAAAAGGTGTTTGTTTAGGCGTGGTTTGTAGGGAATTACACACCTGCGCACACACAAACACGCATAACAACAGAATCAGTTTTTAATGTGCATCAGCGTTTATCACAGGTTCTGTTTAGAGAGAACGGTGTCGTGTTAGTGGACCCTAATTTAATAACAAATGATCATTTCAACGGAAGTGAATCAATCAAAACTAACTTTATAGCTGGAAAATTACATTATTCAAGAACTGCTATAAAACCAAACCAATCTCTGTTACCTTAGATTATATTACGTTTATCTCTGTAAAGCTGCTTTGAAACAATCTACATAGTTGAAAGCGCTATATAAATGAGGATGACTTGACTTGATTCCCCTCTTTACATGTTCGCAACAAATGACTAATTGTATTTTTTGCCTTGGTTGCCTATCTTTTCTTGTTTTTTGATTTGATTAAAAAATAGAACTAATTCATCACAAAGTTGTCTGTTTAATCTTGATTAATAATATTATAGGTGCTATTAATCTCAATGAATCCCACCTTACATTAAAATGGGTATGGCAGTCCATCTCATTGGTTCAGTTGTAAAATAAGTACTTCAATTCATAATAAAAAAAAATGCAAATATAAGTAATTTTTTTTTTTACCTCTATTGGTATTGCTCAACTACGTTTGGTTATACGGGGTGTGTACGAACACTAAAACTGTTCTCTAGAGCATGCTACAAGGTACATGTACAAAGCACATTCATATTTTCTTGTGGAAATTGTTACACATGACTCTTTGGCCTTATTAAGAGGATTTTTTTATACCTCAAAATATTAGCATAAATGTAAAGTTTTTTATTATAGGGCCACGTACTACGGAGGCGTATTGCATTCACTTGAAGAAAAAAAATTTACTCTGTTTTTCTGAATTAATGAGTTAATTTTTCATGAGAAAAAGTTTTTTTAAAAAACAGAGCAAAAAAAAAATTTCCATGAAAAATTAACTCGTTAATTCAGAAAAACAGAGCAAAAAAAAAAAATCCATGAAAAAATAACTCGTTAATTCAGAAAAACAGAGCAAAATATTTTTTTTTTCACGAAAAATTAACTCATTAATTCAGAAAAACAGAGCAAAAAAAATTCTCATGAAAAATTAACTCATTAATTCAGAAAAACAGAGCAAAAAAAAATTTCCATGAAAAATGAACTCGTTAATTCAGAAAAACAGAGCAAAAAAGAAAATCCATGAAAAATTAACTTGTTAATTCAGAAAAACAGAGCAAAATATTTTTTTTTCATGAAAAATTAACTCATTAATTCAGAGGAAAAACACAGCAAAAAAAAAATTCCATGAAAAATGAGCTCGTTAATTCAGAAAAACAGAGCAAAAAAAAATGTACTCGTTAATTCAGAAAAACAGAGCAAAATATTTTTTTTTCTCATACATGAAAAATTAACTCATTAATTCAGAAAAACAGAACAAAATATATTTTTTTTCTCATGAAAAATTAACTCATTAATTCAGAAAAACACAGCAAAAAAAATTTCCATGAAAAATTAACTCGTTAATTCAGAAAAACAGTAGATTTTTAGTTTTTTCAGTAGATTTTTTTTCTTCAAGTGAATGCAATACGCCTCCGTACCATTCTGGATGTATTAAAAAAAAAAAAAAAAAACACTTTTACCACAGACAATACATATTACGTGTAGGGATGAGAAATGAGATAAGAAAATTATTGATTACAAAGTTTTAAAAAAATCTCAATAGAGTTAAAACATTAACCCTGTAGGTTCAGGATCGGAGACGCTGTCGACCCCAGTGGCGGGGATCACGCCTCCCCGGGGAATAAACCCTCCTCCTCCTCCGCTGGACAGCATCACTCCTGCTCCCACCTGTCCCAGAATCCCCTCTGAGGGAAGCGCAGAGCTGGAGACGGAGCCTCGCATTGAGGACGTGCAAGAGTCGCTGTATTGGGCGTTGAACGCATGTAGACATACTGTGAAGGTAAAGTCATTGTGTGCCATGTTGAAAATAAAGTTCAGAGCATAAACCAATGGGAGCAGAATTACTAAGAAATGATTTTGGTTCGACATTTCAGCTGTGCCGTGTAACGCAGTCACTCCTGATGGCTACTTTGTATATTATATATACTTTTTTCATTTAAAGTCTTTTAAAAAGGCATCTGAAATATGAAACTAAGTGCAGTGTTGTCAAAAATATTGATTTTTTTTTATACATATCGATACTGAAATATCCAACCCTCATTATCCACAGAATGCATAGATGATACCAGCTTCTCTCTCTCTCTCTCTTTCTGACAGCGAGTGACACTCAAACCTGCCTCCATTCACTCACCCATTTCATTTGCTCTGGATGGATACTGTTATATATCCGAAGCCCTTCCAACCCTCATTATCCACAGAATAGATAGACCTGCAGATCAAAGTTTGCGCTCATAAAGCCACTAAATTGAACTCTTTTTCGCTGCTTATGCGCTTAAACACACAAAATAATGTCAAAATGCTGGTTTTGCTGAGTGTTCACATAAACACAGTCAGCTTTAAGAGAATGTAAACCGTTGAGAAGGAAACGCATGTGTGACAGTGAATCAGCTCTTAAAGTGACAGTAGCCTAATAAACCTGCTGCCAAATTATGAGGTAATATTAAAAATATCTATAGGGCAGTTTTCCCCAGGGTATTGATGTCAAAATTGTGGCCAATGAAAATGCTGAGTGGCTGAAACTTGGAAAACCAACACGGAAATGTATTGTTTGGGTTTTAACAATATAAAACACACACAGAGTTTAAAGTTTAGAACAAGTGTACCAGTCACGTAACATAAAGGAAATGTCTTTCAAGAAAGAGTCTAGTTAGTCAGGGTTGTCTAATCCTTGAGCTGCGACCCGATTAAACACACTTTCAGCCAGCTGTGGATGTTCCTGACTGTCTTCTTTTATTTTTTTCAGAAACAGATCTGTGATGATGTAGAAAGGCGTCTGAAGCTTTTTGAGGACATGTGGAAGAGTGGGAAACTCTCTCCTTTGGTTAAACGGAGGATGCATGGATTGTCCCAAGGTGAGTCAGTGTTCACTTCTGTTCAGGGGTAAAACACGACTTGTACATTATCTATCTATCTATCTATCTATCTATCTATCTATCTATCTATCTATCTATCTATCTATCTATCTATCTATCTATCTATCTATCTATCTATCTCTATGTGTGTGTCTAATCCTGCTGATGAGCGTTCACAGATGAAAGGCCGTTGGTTTCTACTGGGCTACTGGTAATGCTGCAGTTTAATGGATTAGTTCAGAATTGAAGACATTATTGAAATAAACTGTTCATTTATTTCGACTAAAAGTGAGTAAAAGCATACTTGGATGTGCTTCCTTTCAGCCGTGAAGAGCAGAAGCTGGGACGCGGCGGATGAGGTTCACCGCGGGCTGATGGTGGATCATGTGGCGGAGGTCAGCCAGTGGATGGTGGGAGTCAAACGTCTCATCGCTGAAGCTCGAAGCCTGGACCCACAACCGCTCAACAACTGCACTGAGGATGCACAGCTCACAAACTGATTTCTCTTAACTTATGTAAAGTTTTCTATAATCCAAAAAATCCCATTTCCATCTAGTTCATCTAATATTTCTTCTATTTTTGTAGGGTGGTGTTGGGGAACAATTCTTTCTTTCAGACCTCATTGTGATTTTTCTTTGTATTTTGAAACAGAATTTGTTAAAAATATAGGCATCATGTATCTTACTACTGTATATAAAAATCAGCTTTTAAAATAGGGTTGATTTCCAACTCTTTCAGCCCGAATAAAGCCCTCAGGCTCGACTGACAAGGTATTGAATTTGTGCTATATATATATATATATATAAACAGATTTGATCAGTACTGTTATAATGTGCAATAAAGTTATGTTGAAACCTACCCTATTGTTTTGCAGTATGCGTCTCATCAGCTCTATAGTTAACTCTACTGTATAGATTAAAGAGTCGGACTTTCTCAATCGCTGCTTTCGAAAAGTCCCACAATGCACTGTGAAAACCAGGGAACATTGATGCTCACAATAATTTAAAGCTCAATAATATTTTATTACTCAGTCATTCTCTTCAAATGCTATTGAGCTTTTAATTATTGTATATGCTGTGTATGATCATATACACTAGTGAAAAACAGAAATATATACATATTGACAGTTTTAAATAAATATTAAACATTTAAAAGGTGTGCATCATGCCTGACACCTACATGAACATTTACAGTTGGTCTAATGATTGTCTTTCTCTTCAAATGCTATTGAAGTCAGAAACCGGTACACGTTTGTAACTTTAAAGACTGTCCCTAAATTTGCGAATATCGAACGTCCAACACTAACCAACTTTATGTCGTATTTAGGGTTGGGTATCGTTTGAATTTGAACGATTCTGATTCCGATTCCTTGTTTCGATTCCGGTTCCCAACGATTCTCGATTCCGATTCTTTTAAGAGGCAGGGTCAAAAAAGTTTAGCTAACCTTGCTAACCAATGGTCTTTCTGAAGGAAATACTCCTTCTGTCACAAATACTCCTTTTGTCACAAATTTTGCATTTTGCCGAGATTTCGTTATTTTTAGAAAAGTGAAGCCACACTTTGGAACGCCGACGTAAGCTACTCATGTTCGACTCGCGTGCCAACACTTCCGGTAGACGCTTCTTCGTTGGTGTTGTTCAGCGGTTTCTTCTTCCGCTCGGCGGACTGTGAATATCGAAACTAGGAATTGAAATTTTTACTTTTGAACGATTCCGGGACAAATGAAAAGTTAGTCCCGGTTCCAATCGATACTCGTATTCAGTCGTATTCATTTTAGGCCAAAATGTTGCAGGTCAAAGTAACAAGCAAAGTATTTAATACTTCAAGTTACATTCACATCATTATCAGTGTAGTGATTACTGTCCTTACCAGTGCACAGTAAATACACAGATCTCCACCTAGGAAGCTAGCGAGGTGATTGAGACGCCCTCGATGTTCCCATGTTGATAGTGCAGTATGTTTGGGGGGAAAAAAAAATAAAATAAAAATTGAACTTTTTTACGAGAGGTTCTCTCGTACTGTGTAATATCTTACACTAGGGGAAAACCTCTTTTCCTCGAGAAATTGAAGCCAAAAAAAATTATCCTTAATTTTGCAAAACGCGTTGCGGCAGCATGCAGACATAGGCACGGCGGCTTAGCTTGCCTATTGGCTGTCCTGCGGCAACTGCAGCAGCCTATCGAGAGCGGCCCTTTGGCGACGGTCCAATGGGGGTGCTTCGTGCCCATTGCGTCACGCTCCCGCCAAAGTGGGTGTGGCCTAGCCCTAAACATATCTCGATGGGCTGTACAGGCCTGTACAGCAGATATTTTCTGGTACCGAAAAAAGATGGGGGTCTCAGACCCATTCTAGACCTAAGACAACTGAACAAAGCGCTCATGAAATGCCACTTCAGAATGCTTACAACCAAGAAAATCCTCGATTTGCCAAAGGGACTGGCTTATGTCGATAGGTTTTGAACTACTTGGACTATTGGCTGATTCAAGCTTGATCTCAGTCAGAGCTCACAGAACACAGGACTGTGTTACTCAAACACCTCGAGAAACTGGGTCTCACAGTCAATTAGGCGAAAAGCTCGCTGGTCCCCAGTCAGAAAATAATTTTCCTGGGCACAGAGCTGAACTCGCTGTTTATGACAGTGAGGCTGTCACCAGAGAGCAGAATCAACATTCAGCGCTCCACGAAATCCTTCCGCCGCGCAGGAGGTTTCAGAGAATGCTGGCCTGCTTCACATGCGTCCGCTGCAGTTTTGGCTCAAGGCACGAGTACCACCTCGAGCTTGGGCTTCCGGTCTGCTTCGCCTCAGGGTCAATCAGGAATGTGTCACAACAGGTGTAAACCTGAGGACTTCCTCGAGTGTACAAGTGGTGTCCTCGGACGCCTCCACCTCGGGATGGGGAGCGCTGCACGAGGGCAGACCGTTCTTCGGCCTATGGTCAGAACGAAAAAAGCTCCTTCACATAAACTGTCTAGACATGTTGGTAGTCGACAGCGCGCTTCTGTCCCCGAATAAAGTGCTACCACATCTTAGTCCGCTCCTGGTCGGTGGTATCTTACATAAATCGCCAGGGCGGCGTTTGGTCTGGAAACCTTTTTTAGACTGACAAAACACATTTTGGTCTGGGCTCAGCACAATCTGCACTCACTGAGAGCACTCTCCTGTATTTGGGGCCAGACAGACTGGGCAAGCTAAGCCTATGCCTATGTCTGCATGCTGCCGCAACGCGTTTTGCAATAATTCAAAATTCCCCTAGCGTAAGATATTACGCATTACTCGTTCCTACTTCTAGAGAGAACTGAGGTTACATTAGTAACCGAGTACGTTATCACTAAAGTAACAAGGCCCCGTCCACACTACTGCATTTTCGTTTAAAAACGGAGACCTTTTGCTCCGTTTGCACCTCCCGTCCAGACTAAAACGGGAAAAACGAAGACCTAAAAACGGAGAAGTTTAAAAACGCTGCAGCTGCGTTTTGAATCTCCGGAGGGCGTTTTAGTGTGGACTAGACAAAACCATACAAAACGGAGAACTTGAGAAACGCTGACGCAGAGGCTGACGCTTGTCTCTATGATTGGGCAGACTGATCTCATGAAGTAGCGTGTGTATGCCACGCCAATTCGTATTTCCATTTTTGGCGTGCTATCAAGACGCATAATCGCCTTTCAGCGTGTTTATGAACGCCGTTGACTTAACGTTATATAAATATATGACTTACCTCAACCCCGTCCCTAAACTTAACCGTCACTGGGGTTAATGGCATTTATGACTGGAGATTTGACCGCGTGTACAGACACGCGGAATGATGCGGACGTTAATGGTGTAGACATACACGGATACACGCGGATAGCTCAAAATGCGTAGAGATAACACGCCACCTGACTTGAAAGTGGCGTGTATGTTTACGCAAAAGTCATGATGTCATGTTGGATTGGGTGTCATCAGTCATGACGTGTCCTTCCCTGATTCGTCATTCACTGTTTACACCGGCACGCGCATGCCCAGTGTTGGTGAATGGTCACGTGATCCGCGTTTTCAGTCGTTTTAATGTGGACGGAGATCATTTCTAATACGCAGATAAAACGCTGGTGTGGACGGAGATCGTATTCGTTTTAATTCTCCGTTTTTAAACGAAAACGCAGTAGTGTGGGCGGGGCCTAAGATAAGTGTTAGCATGTAAGGTTTAGTTACATGTAATTATGCGTAATTTGCTGTTATCCCTGAAGTAACCGCATGTAACGTGTTACCGATGCACTCCTGAAAACTTGCCAACAAAGAATAATTCACAACAAATAAGCAATGACAACTACAACACTTTGTAAAGCACTTTTATTTATAAGCCCGGTTGCATTAGAGCCAAACTGCAAAAAGTACATTTTACTCCGAAAACAATCATCGTACCCACCCACTTTTGACAATAGAAACAGCATGCCTCAACAAAACACAGTATATACGTCAAAAACTATCAAAAGATGCTGATATGCCTTTCATAAACTGTGCTGAAACATTAGAGAAGACGGCGAACAATGAGCCGTGGTTTTCCATGCATTTTAATTTATTTAATATTTTCTTTTAGGTAAATAAAGAGGGAATCATTGAGAAACTTTAATAATAATTGAATCGTTCGTATATATTACGAGCGAACTTAGTCGGATATGCAACAAGTATCCTAAATGTGTTTTAGATTTAACTAAAGAAGTGTTTTCTGTTTATGGAGTTATGTCAGCCTTATGAATAGCGCTTTTATACAGCCATGGCCAAATCTAGATCAAATAACAAAAGAATCATGCATACAGTCATCACATTAACATTCTTGTGTTACAAAATAAATACTAAGCAATATTTGACAAACCTGACTAATCAGCTCATACTACTAGTAAAACGTAAATGGTTTAATAACTCTAAACATATATTAATCTGTGCATGTAAGATGCCAAATGTGTTAATATAGCTTACAAATTTTTAGATAAGACAGAAAGACTAAGTTGAATAGCAGATATTCAATACTCCAATAGTCTGAATACAATATCAACAAGTTAAAACGCTATAAGTCGTTGAGCATCACTATGTCCACCTTATTCCTTGAATCCTTTAATAACTGTGACTCCATTGTACTTGTTAATAAATATGAAAGCACATTTGTGAGTGATTAACACCTTCTGTTGTCAAGTGTTTTTAACAACAATATCAGTAGATGAGCACTTCCCTCTCTGTTCCCTCTCTCTCTCACACACACACACAACATGCCCCCATTGAATTTTGAATAGACGTTAAACCTAGACATCGAATGCACCCTTAAGAGCTTTTATGACTTCAAGAGACTTTCTTTTGTTGTTAAAAGAAAAAATCCCTGAATCCTAAAATACAAAAGGAAGAACAAATACACCAGCTCTACTGGAAGAACGTTATCAAGGAAAAGAAAAAAGGTCTGGCATGCAGAAACTGTAGCCCCACAATGCACTGCGGCTCGGGTCGGCGAGCTCTCTCCATCTGTCCGTTCTTGCAGCGCGCGTCGTTTCTTCTTCTTTTTTTTTGCGCCGTCATCGATGCAGCTTTGATTTCCATGGCTAAACGTATACCGAAATTCACTGTTGTTCGATGTGCGTGATTTGGAGAACAAGCCGTTCATTGATATTCACATGAAAACTCATTACAATATTCTTACACGTGTGGAGTTTCAAATATCTAAATTTTTTGTTTAACAGCAAATTAAAGAGAGAGAGAGATTGAAAAACGAATGTCTAAATGTTTACCGATTAAAAAGAGTATATAGATACCCGTGTCCTTTTTTTATAAAATCCTCTTCTGGAATGCAGTGCTTGCTCCATCCTTGTCCTTTGTCCAAGCACACTTATGGTGGAAACATGGTGGCTAATTTTGTAAACATACCCAAACTACTGAAAAAATGAACACCACACAGCACAAAGTGGCTTCATCATAGTTTATCCATAAAGAAGTGTTCTGAGCAATGAGGAGTAAATGCTGATGTGAATGTGATGACACTAAAGCCAATGAAGTTCAAGGAAAAGATGAGAAGCTCGGAGCTTGTACATCCTCGAGTGATCCTGCAACTGTGATGTGTTCAACTACGACAGAAATACAGAGAGAAGTCAGTATGCAAACGGAGCCAGAATATTGTTATGAATATTAATCCACAACATCAGAATTGCGTGATATAAAGTCAGAATTACGAGATATAAAGTCAGAATTACGAGATATAAAGTCAGAATTACGTGATATAAAGTCAGAATTACGAGATATAAAGTCAGAATTGCGTGTTATAAAGTCAGAATTACGAGATATAAAGTCAGAATTACGTGATATAAAGTCAGAATTGCGAGATATAAAGTCAGAATTGCGAGATATAGTCAGATTGCGAGATATAAAGTCAGAATTGCGAGATATAAAGTCAGAATTGCGAGATATAAAGTCGCAATTGCGTGATATAAAGTCAGGATTGTGAGATATAAAGTCAGAATTGTGAGATATAAATCAGAATTGCAAGATAAAAAGTCAGAATTGTGTGACATAAAGTCGCAATTGCGTGATATAAAGTCAGAATTGTGTGATATAAAGTCAGAATTGCGTGATATAAAGTCAGAATTGCGAGATATAAAGTCAGAATTGCGAGATATAAAGTCGCAATTGCGTGATATAAAGTCAGAATTGCGAGATATAAAGTCAGAATTGCGAGATATAAAGTCAGAATTGCGAGATATAAAGTCAGGATTGCGAGATATAAAGTCAGGATTGCGAGATATAAAGTCAGAATTGCGTGATACAAAGTCTCAATTGCATGTTATAAAGTCAGAATTGCGAGATAAAAAGTAAGAATTGCGAGATATAAAATCAGAATTGCGAGATATAAAGTCTCAATTGCATGTTATAAAGTCAGAATTGCGAGATAAAAAGTAAGAATTGCGAGATATAAAATCAGAATTGCGAGATATAAAGTCAGGATTGCGAGATATAAAGTCAGAATTGCGAGAAATAAAGTCAGAATTGCGATATATAAAGTCAGAATTGCGAGATAAAAAGTAAGAATTGAGAGTTATAAAGTCAGAATTGCGAGATATAAAGTCAGAATTGCGAGATATAAAGTCAGAATTGTGAGATATAAAGTCAGAATTGCGTGTTATAAAGTCAGAATTGCGTGATATAAAGTCAGAATTGCGAGATATAAAGTCAGAATTGTGTGATATAAAGTCAGAATTGCGTGTTATAAAGTCAGAATTGCGAGATATAAAGTCAGAATTGCGTGTTATAAAGTCAGAATTGTGAGATATAAATCAGAATTGCAAGATAAAAAGTCAGAATTGTGTGACATAAAGTCGCAATTGCGTGATATAAAGTCAGAATTGTGTGATATAAAGTCAGAATTGCGAGATATAAAGTCAGAATTGCGAGATATAAAGTCGCAATTGCGTGATATAAAGTCAGAATTGCGAGATATAAAGTCAGAATTGCGTGATATAAAGTCAGAATTGCGAGATATAAAGTCAGAATTGCGAGATATAAAGTCGCAATTGCGTGATATAAAGTCAGAATTGCGAGATATAAAGTCAGAATTGCGAGATATAAAGTCAGAATTGCGAGATATAAAGTCAGGATTGCGAGATATAAAGTCAGGATTGCGAGATATAAAGTCAGAATTGCGTGATACAAAGTCTCAATTGCATGTTATAAAGTCAGAATTGCGAGATAAAAAGTAAGAATTGCGAGATATAAAATCAGAATTGCGAGATATAAAGTCAGGATTGCGAGATATAAAGTCAGAATTGCGAGAAATAAAGTCAGAATTGCGATATATAAAGTCAGAATTGCGAGATAAAAAGTAAGAATTGAGAGATATAAAGTCAGAATTGCGTGTTATAAAGTCAGAATTGCGAGATATAAAGTCAGAATTGCGAGATAAAAAGTAAGAATTGAGAGATATAAAGTCAGAATTGCGTGTTATAAAGTCAGAATTGCGAGATATAAAGTCAGAATTGCGTGTTATAAAGTCAGAATTGTGTGATATAAAGTCAGAATTGCGAGATATAAAGTCAGAATTGCGTGTTATAAAGTCAGAATTGCGTGATATAAAGTCAGAATTGTGTGACATAAAGTCGCAATTGCGTGATATAAAGTCAGAATTGCGTGATATAAAGTCAGAATTGTGTGATATAAAGTCAGAATTGCGTGTTATAAAGTCAGAATTGCGAGATATAAAGTCAGAATTGCGTGTTATAAAGTCAGAATTGCGAGATATAAAGTCAGAATTGCGAGATATAAAGTCAGAATTAGACGTCTGGGAATGTCTGGGAAATGCAGTAATCCAGTGCTGGGAAACTCCATCGTATATATATTTTTTATAACAGTATAAATATTTTTAACCCTTGGTCCTCTTAGTGTAGCGGTCAACTTTTTTTTTTTTCAATTAAACGAATGTACTATATTTTAAAAAAAAAACTTTAAAACTTAAAAAAAAAAGTTGAAAAGTTTCTAAAAGAGTTTGGAACATAACCTGCTGTAAAGTTTGAGGTTGATGTCTTTAAAAAAAGAGTTTTCAGTCAGATTATGTTTGTGTGCAGTACCGAACGCGTCCACTAGATGAACTTCCCATTCATTTCCAATGCGCTTATTTCATTTTCGACCCTTTCAATTTTTTAATCATGAACCATAATTTTATTTTTTGTGTTAACTGACCAGGTGTGAAAACTTTTACCAAGTTTCGTACCATTCCGATGAAGTACGAAGTAACCATTTTTTTGGTTAAAAAATTATCGAAGAATTCTTTTTATTAAGATAATGATCATTCATTCCCAATGAAAATGAACAAGAGTACAATCAGTGCCTCTGCACCTTTAATGCCTTGTTTCGATGACAAATGATTTGTGATATTCTTACCTGACTCTTATTTAGTGATGGCAGACGGAGAGCCTGAGCGATGGAAATGCACTATCTGCCACTTGCCGTCTTTACGGTGCCAGATCCGCGTCTCCTCTGACTGGGCGGTGCACGGCATCCCGTTCGTGTCGAGATACTGCGTGATGCGGATGTAGGCGATGCAGGCGGCGTCTTCTCCAATCAGGTGGATGTGAGGGTTGAGGATGGTGGTGTGAACCGGTTTGCTGTTCTTGGACCACACTGTTTAAAAACAAGCAAACAAAACCACCTTTTTCTTACAGATATCTCTCGAGAGCTGCTACATACTGTGTGGATAGAAACGCTTGGAGGATCCAAATATTCAGACTGTGTAATTAGGTTAGCATAACGTTGCTGGAACGTTATCTTAAGGTTAGCATATCCTTTGGTTAGCATAACATTGCTGGAACATTATCTTAAGGTTAGCATTACATTATCCTTAGCTTAGCATAACATTGCAGGAATGTTATTTTAAGGTTAGCATAACATTTTCCTTTGGTTAGCATAACGTTGCTGACGTTGCTGGAACGTTATCTTTAGGTTAGCAAAACATTATCCTTAGGTTAGCATGACGTTGCTGGAACATTATCTTAAGGTTAGCATAACATTATCCTTGCGTTAGAATAACGTTGCTGGAATGTTGTCTTAAGGTTAGCATAACATTATCCTTAGGTTAGCATAACGTTGCTGGAACGTTATCTTTAGGTTAGCAAAACATTATCCTTAGGTTAGCATGACGTTGCTGGAACATTATCTTAAGGTTAGCATAACATTATCCTTGCGTTAGAATAACGTTGCTGGAATGTTGTCTTAAGGTTAGCATAACATTATCCTTAGGTTAGCATAACGTTGCTGGAATGTTATCTTAAGGTTAGCATAACATTATCCTTAGGTTAGCATAATGTTGCTGGAACGTTATGTTTAGGTTAGCATAACATTATCCTTAGGTTAGCATAACGTTGCTGGATTGTTATCTTTAGGTTAGCATAACATTATCCTTAGGTTAGCATAACATTGTTGGAACGTTATCTTTAGGTTAGCATAACATTATCCTTAGGTTAGCATAACGTTGCTGGAACACTACCCAGATAGCACAAGGCTGTTTGATGTCCTATTTACATCTGGAAGACGTATTTTAAAGAGTGTTTGCTCATCTGCAAGACGTCTATAGGACGTTTCCTGTCAGATGTAAAATAGACGTTTATAAGATGTCAGTTTAACGTGCATTCTAAATCATTACATCGTAGAGACATCTTCTAAACGTCTATTTGACATCTGTAGGAAACGTCCTATAGATGTCTTGCAGATGAACAAACACTCTTTAAAATACGTCTTCCAGATGTAAATAGGTCATCAAACAGCCTTGTGCTATCTGGGTATCTTAAGGTTAGCATAACATTATCCTTAGGTTAGCAAAACGTTGCTGAAACGTTATCTTAAGGATAGCATAACATTATCCTTAGGTTAGCATAACGTTGCTGGAACGTTATGTTCAGGTTAGCATAACATTATCCTTAGGTTAGCATAACGCTGCTGGAACGTTATGTTCAGGTTAGCATAACATTATCCTTAGGTTAGCATAACGTTGCTGGAACGTTATCTTTAGGTTAGCATAACATTATCCTTAGGTTAGCATAACGTTGCTGGAACGTTATCTTTAGGTTAAAATGAACAATGTTATTTTATGTTTTTTTGTGAAAATGGGAAGACTTGATAACATGTATTTGTGTTTAATTTTAATTATTACAACCATTTAAATTACAATGGGTTACCATTGTGGAGAAGAGTGGAGCATTTTGTTTGGCTGTCGACTGATTTATTTATTTGACCTGTTTGGTTGAATGAGCATGTTACTCTTAGCAGTCAAAATGCTAATATGTAGCATATAGCTGGGTATAGCCTATTCATTTAATTATGTGTCACTCAAATAAATGAATTATTATTGGATGAATGAATATAAAAAATATCTGAATCATGTAAGGAAGCCTTTAAAAAATTCACATTGAGACTACTTAAAAAGGGTCGCTTAAAATGACTTAATTCCATTATGTTGAAGTTACATGAACAAATTATGTTTGTTTAACATAAACCGATTATGTGGAACCTGTTGACGAAAAAAATAATAATTAAAGCCAAAATATATATATTTTTAGTGCATTGACTAATGACAGTGAATATGATCCAGTCACTGTATCATACATCCGAGAAAGAAAGGCTTCAATAGCCCAACATATGCTGATACAGTAGTAGACTATGTGAAATACACAAAAGAGTCTTATATGCTGGATATTTTCTTTTTTTTTAATTCCAAATATTGTGAATCATTGTATGAATGTCACAATTAAACACCACATCACATACAGCTTTGACAAATTAGGCAGAAGTTATTTGTAAATTTGCATTTGATTAATATATTATGTATTGTATATTATGTGGTGTGTCATCTTACAGTTTTCAAAGTAGAAGCGGTGGAAGTCCAGGCCCTCGACCAGGTTCCCCAGGGCCTCGGGCTCAAACGCGGTCACGCTGGGGTCACACATCTTCCTGCACACACACATCACTTCCTGGATCACTCACAACACACACAGTGCTTCAGATATACACAATTATTTGAATAGTGGATTTGAGAGTTTAAACCATCCTGATGCATGTCTGGGACACAGCCAACTAATATGATAATCAAGAACATACCATAGATACTAGGGGTGTGCAAAGCAGCCGCTATTTGTATTTGTATTTGTTCAGGGAGGAAAAGTATTTGTATTTGTATTCGAGTAAAATTCAAAATAGGCATAAACATCTTTAAAAATACTTTATAGTGTATGGATTCTTTAATTATATCCATTATAATAATTATGGATATGCAATATTGGTTGATTTTTTCAATAAATCCAGCAATGAACATGTAACAAGAAAAGTCATTGAAAAGAAAATAACAGTCAGCCATTACCTCATGAACCATGGTTAAACCAACAACTAATAAAATACAATTGTGAACATTATGAACCCCAACACCACGGTGGAGAACGCTGTGCAGACAGAATAAGTTATATAATTTATAGTGAGGAGGTTGATTATGACCCCGACGCGAAGCCTGAAGGGTTTTCGTTATAACTACGCCTCGCTCTACATTACCCCGCTTATTACATGGCTACCTACCAAATAAATCAATAATTTGACTCAAAATATGGATATAAAAAGGAGTTTATTGATTTAAAAAACGATTGTATCGCTCCCGCTAAAAAAAGAAAAATAGTCCGTTCTGTCTCTACGTTTAGAATCCATGGCAACGCTCTGTTTTTCATAGCAACGGTGTGTTATACTTATAATCAGCGGCCTGTTATAATAACAGACCGCATTCTACATTGGAATTGAATCAAGCCATGAAACAAATAATTACCGTTACCGAGCTAACAGAGCTACGTAAACAGAGCGAACATGAGAGCACCCGTCTGCAGACGTCAATAATGGAATATACTCCCGATCAAACTCCGCTTCCCGAAAGTTATAAACTGCCACCGGAACATAGTTAAGGTACAAACATCTATTAAACAAAAATAGTGATGCAGTTAAGTGTTTTTTCCGCTCAGCCGAGCCCTCTCTGTTGCTGTGTGGAGCAGCCTGTGTCAGTCAACTCTTCCTGAACGTCACTCACTTAACTCGCGCACTGCGGTCTCGTGAGGAACGCAGCTTTTTGATATATAGTATTTCTTGTTCCCGAATACAAATATTTTTTTAAGTATTTGTTCGGAATAAGTATTCGTAAAAAACACATTATTTGTACCTTTCCGAATACCGTATTCGGATTCGGCTCCACCCCTAATAGATACCATGAGCTGTGTCTGAAATCGCTCCCTATCCACTATATAGTGCACTATATCGGGTGTCGGCCATTTTGTAGTGGTGTCCGAATTCTGAGTGAACGACATCATTCCAGCTACATTCATTCACTACTTTTACCTACAATCCTCTCTGAATTCGAGTGTACATTCGATGTACACTTGCTGAAGCCCTATTTCCCACAATCCAATGCGGAGAGAACTGAGCGCGTATGAAAGTTCGGCGCGAGCAAGTTTAAACCAGAGATTACATTACATCCAGTGGAGGATTTGAAAAATATCCGTTAATCGTCGTTTTGAACATAATAACGGTCGCCGGAGGGCGCTCGACGACACGTCATCTGTGAACGTGAGAGTTAATGTACAATTTCAGTCGTTGAAACTACAAAGCTGGCACGGAGGTATAATTACAAAATAAAGTCATTATGATTGTTATTGTTGTTAATATTATTTTATAAAGTAGGTAATGTAAGATAAAAGGAGTTTTATCAGTACGCGTGACGAAGCCTTTTCTGCGACAGCTCCAACTCTCCGACGCACAGTGTAAACGTCAGCGTCCGAATTCACTCACTTCATCTCGTTCACTCCTTGCAGATATAGTGCACTCATATGCCATACACTATATAGGGATTAGTGAATGAGTGACGAGTTAGCGATTTCAGACACAGCTCATGAATACCATATATGAAGAATCCCTTGGAACATTTGATACATTTATTACAGAAATTGACTGAACTTGACTAACGAAGGAGTTTCACACATCTCAGATGACCAATCAAACCGTTTAGTCAAAGAGCTGCAATTACATAGTAAATCTATCTACAGTAATACTGTGGGTTTGACTGTAACATTTGAGTAAGTCTAGTCATTGATGATTCCCCCCTCCCCTTTCTGTCAAATACCCCCTGTATACCTCTGCATAGGGGTACATGTACCCCAGGTTTGAAACCACAACAATATATTGAACTTGTGGAGATTGGAGGTGTGTTCATGTTGTTTTGAGAATGTATTTTCTTTTACCTCTGATGTATGGAAGTTACTTTATGTGTGTGAATGATAATGTCAATTCCTTGGCAATATGTGCAATGTGTGATGTCAAATCTTGGAGGCTACTCTTACCCTAAAATCCAAAACAACTAAAATTTCACTTTTATACACAATTGTATTCTGTTAGCTAGACAACAAACATCACAGTAACCATTGTCAATGAAGGACTGGGCTAAGACTGAAAGGTGGACATAAGGGATATTTCAATGGTCTTCTGCCATAGTGACAAAACATCTAAACATTTTGGCTTGCAGTGCTTACACAATGCCAAAGGGACTAAGCATTTTGGGGGCACTGACTGGTTAAATGAGAAGGAAATTTAGTTTTTGACACATGAGTGAACTGTTTTGGGTGAGGTATGAGCTTTTGCAGATGAACCATGGTGTTGTGCACGTTATTTAGGCAAAAGCACCAAGAGTGTTGAGAACGTCCGGTCTGTTTCGAGAAATCAGCCAAAGCAATTGAGAAGGATCTTTGCCATTTTGGTGGCACTGACTCTTTATATGGGAAATGAATTTAGTTTTGAAGCATGAGTGAACTGTTTTGGGAGAGGTATGATGATCTTTTGCCATATGATCTTAGAGTTATGAGAATGTAATTTCTGTTTCAAGAAATGAGCCAAACCAATGGAGAAAAACTGTAATACTGTGGATCATGTATTCATCATAACTCACTCTCACGCAGTCTTTAAAACTGGTTTCCATTTAATTTTGTATGTAGCTGACAGGAAGTGAGGCTGTATCTGCACCATTGGCTGAGAAGAGTTGGTCACACTTTACTTGAAGGGGTGTGCATAAGACTAATGACACCTTCATAATCATCACATGACATATGTTATGAATATGAAAGAAGTTTTATGCATGTTTATGACAACTGTCATTTAGTTTCATTCGCTATCACATTTTGATGCAAATATGACATTATTTAAGATTATGACACCTTGACATAAACCAATACATCATAACCTGTCAGTGTCTTTGTCATGACAACTTGACATTACTAAGACAACACAACCTGCCATAAACATGACATAGCAGATTAATGATCAAACTTAAGAAAGCACCTAGATTTATAGGTTAACATTACATTAAACTGTCAGGTGGTTGGTTTTGACATTGGCTGTCATGAAGCCATTATAACATTTTAATGATAAATTCAATTTGTACCACTGTAGTTGAGGTCACGAAAAATATTCATGTTATAATGCCTCATGACAGCCAATGTCAAAGCCAACCACATGACAGTTTAACTTAGTTTTATGTCAAGTTGTCAGGACAAAGACATCTCAAACAATGTCATATTTGCATTAAAAATGTCATAAACATGCATAAAACCTTCCTATTAAAGACATGTGTCATGTCATGGTTATGATAGTCTCGCGTAGCCAGACCTTCAGACTGACGGCTGAAGGTCTGGAATTCATAGCAGCTTTCTTTGGTCAAGGCCCGCCCATAAGGCCGTTAGACCGACATGTCAAACAACCAATTACAGTTCGTTTCGTTCAGCGTCATGTTTCGGGGCGTGGAAATGTACCCACAACAACAGACCGGTGTGCAACAAGTCAGTCAGCAGTCACCGGAGGCGCTAACAACGCTCCGTGTTATTAAATTCACCCACGAACTCGCTCATGTCCATCTTATGTCCGCTTTGTCACACGAATGTAAGTTACGTCCCCGCCCCAGTGCGCTCACGCCTACTAAATAAACGCCTCACCTCCGGCGCCGCGCACTCGCTACATTCCCTTTAGCCTTTAGCACATCTAGTGGATGCATAACGCAAACCCAGTCAAACGTTTGACTCTGCAGTATCTTATGTGCCTTATAATCCAGTGTGCGCGACCTATATATGAATACTGAATCGGCCAGCTGCGATGTCAGCGTCTGTTTCATGTTTGTCCACAAACGCAGCTGATATACCCTTCGCAATTAAGTACTTCACTTGATCTTCCATAATAGATTGGAGGGGACATACAACTACGTTTAGCTGATCTTGAGAAATGCTCATTGTCACTCACATAGGCCACTCATATAAACACAACAGTTTTTCTTCCGCAATCACACATCTGCGCTTTGTTTCCCGGCGGACCGAAAATAAACGCGACACTGACGCCCCCCGGAAATCCGATAAAATTCAACCAATCAGATGACGACTTCGACATTCCTGAAGTGTTTCCAGTTAAGTGTACCATATGCATCAGACGTTTAGCCAACGTTCCGTGGGCGTGACGTCTGAGGCTGAGACTATGGTTATGAAGGTGTCATGTCAGTCTTATGCACACCCCTTCAGGTGAAGTGTTACCGAAGAGTTTTAGTACAGCGCCACCTACTGTTCAAGAGACTATTTGTCCTAAAATCTCAAAGTTTTCCTTGGATCGTGCTGAATCAGGTGATGTCAATACCTCAGCAATTTTATCTCTTCGCCATTTTGAATTTCAACATAAACTACAACATATTTGTAACGCGTTGATGTGCTGAAATGAAACTCGGCACTGCGCTCCAAAAACACCGGAGGATTTAGGGAATGACAAATTCACCAAACAATCAACAATTGAAGAAACAAAAAATGATGCTACCACTCCTACATATTTTGTCAAGTTCTTACCAAATTTCATCTTGAAGCCACGCCTAAAAATTCTCCTGAATTAATTTTTTCCAGGTATTGTGTACCACACGACGAAGGAGAAAGACTTTTTCAGGTAAATTCTGACTGGCTGTCAATGGTTCATTGTATCATTCATCAGCTGGAATAAAAAGCTTTATAGTTATTGTGATTAGAGTTTGTTTTACAGTACATGTACTTACAGTGTATTTACCCAAGAAAGTACTGGTGATATAAGGTAAATACATGGGTTACGGTTAGGTTTACGGATCGGGGTTAGTACCTAGTATTTATTGTAAATGCTATAACAAGTACATGGTGTGTAAAAGCAGAACAGGACTTCAGTTATTGTTGTAGTTGGTGTGAACAGGCCTCTACAGACGTTAAGAAAAGCATTACGACTGACCCGGTCTCCACTACAGTACATTCATATTTAATGATTGGCAAATGCAAATGTTGAAGGGCTGGATGAAAAACTAATGGTGCCCAAACTCACGTGTAATTCTCAAAGTCTCCATTGCTGATGGCTTCAATGAGTTGCTCAGTTACTTTGATGATCTCTTGCTTCCTCACTGCAAAGAACAAAGTTTAATATTTTAGATAGGTTTATTCAAAATATTATAATATTAATATTCTAATAACAATATTTAGGTTTTCAGTGGTGCCGTTTGCTTTAGATCCCACTAAGGGTTGTTTTTTTAAAATGATGATTTACACTTAAGTTAGGTTCATATTGAGTTGAAATTGAAATAAGTATAATCATTATCTTTGGTTAGTATGTCAAGTTTGATAAAAGTACCTGATTAATAACCAATGCCTAACCAATAATAGTCAATATAAGTTTACAAGGTCCACTTTAGACATTCTGCTAACTAGTAATAAGTAACTCGTCAACTACATGTCTCTCATTAGAGTAGTAGTAGACTGTTAAGCGTTCGTAGAATAAGATGACATGTATTTGCAAAGTTACTTATAGTTAGTAGAATGTCTAAAGTGGACCATCAGAATAAAGTGTAACCAATTAGAATTAAAAATGCATATATGAAAAATAAGACCTGATGTCATTGAGTCATGTGTGTTTATGCTACTATGAGAAGAAACGCTACAAATTTGTGGGTGCAGTTTGCAAAACTGTGGGAATTCAAAATTAAGATGAATATGTTGGCACGATTTGCTAAAATGAGAAATGAAACAGTTTATCAGTGTGTGAGCAGAGCTGAGAAAAGCTTACATGACGGCAGAGGATATTTACACCTAATGCATCATGATTCATTTTCAACCATTCTTAGTGTTCGTGGATCTGTAAGTATTCTATCACCACAATGATGACGTGTGTTGAATGGACAGGTACGTATATGCAAATAAGAACTGCATCATGAAGTCAGGATGGGGCTCATTTCGAAACAAGACATTTTTTTATGCATGGTAGCAAGACTGGAAAATCTGATTTCTCACTTTATGTCTCATTTGCTTGTAATGGTTTGGGATGTTGAAAAACAGGACACCCTTAGCCCAGTTTAATGAGACATTTCTTTTCCAATGGGCAGGCAAGCAAGTTCCCAATAAATCAGCATTTGTTTAAAACTTAAATAAATATACACTGGATATATTCGTGTTATTATTGCATATTATTTTAATAATGAGATACAGTGCAAAGAAATGGTATTTTTTAAGTCTTGCCATATATTCTCAATGGGACAGAAGCCTGGGCTTTGACCGTTTTAAGACTTCATGTTCGGTCTTAAAGCAGGTTTTCCTCTACAATTTCCCTATAATTGACTCCATCTGGGTGGATGGATAGACGGATAGATGGATATACAGATGGGTGGATGGATATACGGATGGATGGATATGCGGATGGATTGATGGATGGATGGATGGATAGAAGTATCGATGAATGGATATACAGATGGATGGATGGATAGATAGGTAGATGGATGTACAGATGGATGGATGGACAACGATGGATGGATGGATGGATATATGTATGGGTAGATGGATGGATATACGGATGGATGGATGGATAGATAGGTAGATGGATGTACAGATGGATGGATGGATGGATGGATGGATGGATAGATAGGTAGATGGATGTACAGATGGATGGATGGATGGATGGATGGATGGATGGATAGATAGGTAGATGGATGTACAGATGGATGGATGGATGGATGGACAAAGATGGATGGATGGATGGATATATGTATGGGTAGATGGATGGATATATGGATGGATGGATAGATAGATAGGTAGATGGATGTACAGATGGATGGATGGATGGACAAAGATGGATGGATGGATGGATGGATGAATGGATGGATGGATATATGTATGGGTAGATGGATGGATATACGGATGGATGATATACAGGTGGATGGATGGATGGATGAATGGATGGATATATGGATGGATGGATGGATGGACAAAGATGGATGGATGGATATTTGTATAGGTAGATGCAAGTATAAACGGATGGATGGATGGATATACAGGTGGATGGATGGCTGGATATACGGATGGATGATATACAGGTGGATGGATGGATGGATGGATGGATGGATGGATGAATGGATAGATATATGGATGGATGGATGGATGTACAGATGGATGGATGGATGGATGGACAAAGATGGATGGATGGATATATGTATAGGTAGATGCAAGGATATAAGGATGGATGGATGGATATACAGGTGGATGGATGGCTGGATATACGGATGGATGAATGGATGGATGGATGGATGGATGGATGGATGGATGGATGGATGGATGGATGGATGGATGGATGGATGGATGGATGGATGGATGGATGGATGGATGGATGGATGGATGGATGGATGGATGGATGGATGGATGGATGGATGGATGGATGGATGGATGGATGGATGGATGGATGGATGGATGGATGGATGGATGGATGGATGGATGGATGGATGGATAGATAGATAGATAGATAGATAGATAGATAGATAGATAGATAGATAGATAGATAGATAGATAGACAGACAGACAGGTGGATGGATGGCCACATACGGATGGATAGATGGATATACGGATGGATGTTTGGATGGATGGAGAGATGGATAGTCTCACCTCTAGTATCCTCATCTTCAATTGTGGTGTTGGTACTCTCTGATGATTCCTAGAAAGGATTGGATTCAGGGTTTTATTGTTAATTTCAAATCCAGGATCACATAATACAAGATCATAGTTGACCAGCTGCTTTCTCTGTGACTTCAAGAAAGAAAGAGTTAGTAAAAATCAGAGGTGTCAAGCTGCTGACTTGACATCAGTCCTGCAATAACGAATGTGTCAGATTTGCATCAACTTTACAGATGTGATGTAACATCAACATCAGCAAAAAGAAAGTCCAGCTCCATGGCAGCCATGTTTTGCTCATTGTTAGGTTGCCTATAAAGGTTGCCAGTTGTGGCAGATTGTCAACAGGACGGAGCCTGTTTCACACTCACCATCAGCTGGGTGCTGGAACTGGACTTCCTTTTCTGGAAGAGAAATGAGAAGAGGTTAGACAGGAACAAACACTGAATTGACAGACGGAGATGAGAGGATCAGCCGTGAATATGTGAATAAAGTCTAAAACAGTCCTCCTCAAATTCAGTCCACCTTAAAATTTGTGTCTATTGCTGGGCTTATAAGGCTTAAGGAAGCACTCGCATGAGTATCTGCAGTGCTAACATACCTGGTTTTATGATACACTTGTTTCAGTATACATTTTTGCAAAATATGAAATAATCTACAGCAGGTAATATCACTGTAGTTTACAGGTGAAATTGCCACTACTGGCCAGTTGGCCCTTTGAGTGCAAATATATTGGGAGATTTTCAGGAACTAATTATGTATATTTTAGTCTGTTGGATAATTGGATAATTCAGTCACTTGGAATATAGCACACACTTTTGTATTGAAAAGAGAAGCCTGTGTGTAAGTAGATAAAATGGATTTTATTTTATTTTGTATGAGTTGGTAATTGATTGGTGGCACAGGTGGAAGAAGTAACCATGGAGTAGCCAGAGGGATGACAGACCAACGGTGGAGTCAAGGAATCAATTAGTCATGGTGGAGCCAAGGAATTGATTGGTCAAGGTGGAGCCAAAGAATTGATTAGTCAAGGTGGAGCCAAGGAATTGATTGGTCAAGGTGGAGCCAAGGAATTGATTGGTCAAGGTGGAGCCAAGAGATCGATTTGTCAAGGTGGAGCCAAGGAATTGATTAGTCAAGGTGAAGCCAAGGGATCAATTGGTCAAGGTGGAGCCAAGGAATAGATTGGTCAAGGTGGAGCCAAAGAATTGATTAGTCAAGGTGGAGCCAAGGAATTGATTGGTCAAGGTGGAGCCAAGGAATTGATTGGTCAAGGTGGAGCCAAGAGATTGATTGGTCAAGGTGGAGCCAAGGAATTGATTAGTCAAGGTGGAGCCAAGGGATTAATTGGTCAAAGTGGAGCCAAGGAATAGATTGGTCAAGGTGGAGCCAAGGGATTGATTGGTCAAGGTAGAGCCAAGGAATTGATTGGTCAAGGTTGAGCCAAGGGATTGGTTGGTCAGGGTGGAGCCAAGGGATTGATTGGTCAAGGTGGAGCCAAGGAATTGATTGGTCAAGGTGGAGCCAAGAGATCGATTGGTCAAGGTGGAGCCAAGGAATTGATTAGTCAAGGTGAAGCCAAGGGATCAATTGGTCAAGGTGGAGCCAAGGAATTGATTGGTCAAGGTGGAGCCAAAGAATTGATTAGTCAAGGTGGAGCCAAGGAATTGATTGGTCAAGGTGGAGCCAAGGAATTGATTGGTCAAGGTGGAGCCAAGGAATCGATTAGTCAAGGTTGAGCCAAGGGATTGGTTGGTCAAGGTGGAGCCAAGGGATTGATTGGTCAAAGTGGAGCCAAGGGATTGATTGGTCAGGGTGGAGCCAAGGGATTGATTGGTCAAGGTGGAGCCAAGGGATTGACTGGTCAGGGTGGAGCCAAGGGATTGATTGGTCAAGGTTGAGCCAAGGGATTGGTTGGTCAGGGTGGAGCCAAGGGATTGATTGGTCAAGGTGGAGCCAAGGGATTGACTGGTCAGGGTGGAGCCAAGGGATTGATTGGTCAAGGTTGAGCCAAGGCATTGATTGGTCAAGGTGGAGCGAAGCGATTGACTGGTCAGGGTGGAGCCAAGGGATTGACTGGTCAAGGTTGAGCCAAGGGATTGGTTGGTCAAGGTGGAGCCAAGGCATTGATTGGTCAAGGTGGAGCCAAGGCATTGATTGGTCAAGGTGGAGCCAAGGCATTGATTGGTCAAGGTGGAGCCAAGGGATTGATTGGTCAAGGTGGAGCCAAGGCATTGATTGGTCAAGGTGGAGCCAAGGGACTGACTGGTCAGGGTGGAGCCAAGGGATTGATTGGTCATGGTTGAGCCAAGGCATTAATTGGTCAAGGTGGAGCTAAGGGATTGATTTGTCAAGGTTGAGCCAAGGGATTGGTTGGTCAGGGTGGAGCCAAGGGATTGATTGGTTAACGTGGAATCATGGGCTTGGAGGGCTGAGGTGGTGCCAATCTGGTTGAAACTTGGAGGCCACCACTCCAAGACCACGGTGGATCTGAGTGACCAGGAGACAGTTTTCACGCCAGTGGAGCTGGAGGATTGAGAGCCAGTGGATTAGGAGGTAAAGGGGGAGCCCAGGAACTGGATGGAACTAGAGAGTCTAACAAGCCAGATGGGACTGGTGGAGGAGGAACAAATTTAGGGTGGGTTTTAGGTTGGGAACTAACTTCTGGGAGGACAGGTCAATGAGCGCTGACTCTAGAATGGACATGGCCTCTGCCTCTAGTGGAGGGTTCGTGGCGGGCGTGGGCTGCACTTTAAATGGTGTATTTCATGGTCCCTTCTAGTGTTAAAAAAGTACAGTAGAGACTTCTGTACCAAGTTTGTACGGAAATTAAAAAATATGACGATACCAGCATTTCCCTCTAGCATTTTGAGCGCTGTTGAATCTTTGACGCTCTTCACCAAGCGCTTACACAGATATACAGATCCGTTGATAGATGCAAATGGTCCTTTGTGTATCTAAGTGCTTGGTGAAGAGTGTCAAAGATGTCATTCTTGATCAGTGTAGCCAATCAGCCAATGTTGTGCCCGTCAACACAATGGCCAATCAGAGACATATATCTTGAGCACATGAACACAATGGCCAATCAGGTGTTTAAGAATCCATTCAACAGCGCTCAAAATGCTAGAGAAAAAAAAAGCTGGTATCGTCACATTTTTTTAAACTCCAGTATTCATTAATTTTGACAACTCTAGTTCCTTCTGAGGTTGAATTTTGGATGTAAATAAAAAATGTGGGGTAGCTTTAGGGGTGGGACTCATGAAAAAAAAAAATCAGTTTTTTGATAAAATATTATTTAGAGATAGTCTTTCTCACTTTGTTAAAGCCTCTGTAGTGGAAAACATAAAACCACAGTAAGCACCACTTTAAGATGTACATATAACTGCAGACTGCAGTTATCCAGATTCAAGTGATGTATAGCCTTTATTTCAGTGTTCATCCTGGGATGATTGGCCACAAAACTTGACGACTTGGGTTTTCCTCAATCCATTTGTCATGGAGGTCAATGACTTTTTGACAAATCGCCCTCAGACTGTCAGACTAGGCCCTCACACTCAGCATGGGTGTGTACTGAGCCCCTTCTCTTTGCTCTCTACACTCATGACTGTGCCCCCACCCATCTCACAAACACCAATATTAAGTTCACAGATGACACAACTGTTGTTGAACTTATCTCAGGAGAACGAGACAGCTTATAGTGATGGAGTCCAAAGATTGGCAGTGTGGTACTCATATTGAACTCTTTAAAAACTAAGAACTCATAATAAAATTCTAGAAGAGCAGCAGGTTTTTTTTCTGAGCATACATATCTCCACAGATCTCTCCTGGGCTACCAACACCACCACAGTAGTGGAGAAGGCATTGCAGAGACTCCACTGGCATGGAAAACTGCTGGTATCCTTCTATCATTGTTCCTTTGAGAGTGTGCTGACGTACCGCATCTCTGTTTGGTATGGCATCTGCTCAGCAGCGGACAGAAGAGCCCTCCAGAGGGTCATCCGTAGATCATCGGATGCCCACTGCCCTCACTGGAAGACTTATTCAGCTCTCGTTTTCTAAGTATACTCTATACTCTGTAGAGCAGCTAACATACTGAATCCTAACGTATCATTCCACCATGACCACGGATCTGTTTGTCCGGCTGCCCTCTGGTAGGCGTTTCAGGTACAGAGTAGGCTATCATGGATATACACACTCGAGAACTGCTGTCAAACAGTGCTGTCGTGTTGTCGGCCCAGATCCGGCCCACATCTGGTACGCGTTGAATGCACATGTACCAGATGTGGGCCGGATCTAGGCTCAGACTATGTACGTATATATGATATGGCAGAAATAGTGAAAGTCGAACGCAATTCCAAAATCAGCTGTGATGTTTTGTGTTTCTGTGTGTTTTCAATAAATTGGTTATGTGAATGATTCAACGACTCGCTCACAAACACACAAAAACAGTCAAAAGTGGATGAACTGTTGTCTATGATATAATACAATATAACATACACTTTTTTAACAATAAAATAAAGTTATCCAGTGTGTAAATTAAAGGCTGATTTCCACCCTACCTTCACACCATCTGTCTTCTTGCTGACGCCACTCTTTCCTCCTGAAGAGACAAAGAAAAAGAGTGAAATTGCTATAAGAAAGGGCACAAAAGCCCAGAAGAGCATAGTGAGAGGCATGGCACCGCTCTGCTCTGTTCTCCAACTCAAGTTTAGCTCTGGAGATCTGTTGACTTTCTAAAAGAGGAGCTGGGAGTTTCCAGCATACATAATCACACACTCCCACACTCCAGGAACTGCTCACTTTTAATGGCTGCTCAAAACAAACAAATAATCAGGAACAGTGAGTCAATACGAAATGTTAAACCAATGTGACATTAGGGGCGCCCAGTTACAACCAATCATAGATATAGTCCAAATCGTCAGACTTTTACTGGATGGGTATTTTACTATAGAATCATCAGTCTTGGTCATGCTTGACCAACATCTCAGTTTGAATGTTCACATTGAATAACACACAGAGGTGCTAAACGCTAAAAGTGCACTGCTGACTCAAGCCAGTGTGTTTCCATTGAACGTTATCTTAAGCAGTGGAGAATGAGCGCTCTGGGTAAAAATAGACCCAATGTGATGAATGATCAAGAGTGTTTGGGAGTGATAGAAAAAAGCTACGGCTGCTAAACTTGAACAGGTGGAGCTATCTATTTTAGTTTAGACATCGCTGACCTATTACAGACCCTCACTCGCATGACATACACTACCACAAGGAACAGAATACTTGAAAAAGAAAACGATTCGCAGGATCGGATTAAGATGTCGTGGTGGCACCCCTGAATCTGTGCCATCTACTACATGTTCACACTGTTGGAAACTTCAATCCTAACCCTATCCTCACACGTTACTACTAAAATCAGTAGCTGAGTAACACTGATGTACAAGCACATAAACCTGTTTTTTTTTTTTTTCTCAAACTAAACTTGAACTGTAAACGCATCCCTCAAATCTGAAATGTTGTTCAGGGATCAACAATGATGTTGAAATTATCGAATTTATTTAATTACAAAATTTGAATACATTTTAGGAAGGGAAAAAAGGTGTCCCTGCATTGATTTCCCATCGGATTCAAGATGGTTGAACGCGCAAATTCACCGCGTTTACTCATATAAAGCTGAGGGAAAAGATAAAAAGCAAAGCTTGGGGTAAGACTAGCTCACTGTTATTAGTGTTTTTTATTTTTTATTTAATACTTATTGTAAATAATGGGGTTGTTATCCAATAATTCCATGAGATGTACATTTATGAGTGTTTCAATTCACTGTGTAGCCATTATGACGTAAATAATTTAAAATATGAGCAATTTAATATTGATATATTCATATACCTTTATTTATTTAACATTTATTTAATTTATTTTAAAAATCTCTACAAACCTTCATTGCAAACGTGAATCAAAACAGCACAGTCTCATCCCAAAAAGTCATATAACTGACGTTTTGGGGCGTCTTTTGACCCTACGTCAATTGACCCTACGTCAATATTCGCCTTTTTAGGGCCCCCTTAAACGTCGGTAGATGAGGTTGTGATCCTAAGTCTACCCCAGACCTAAACCTAACCCGTCACCTAACTGACGTTAAAGGTAAAGCGTCAGTTGTATGACGGCCCGGGATCGCCATCTACCGACGTTTAAGGGGGCCCTAAAAAGGCGGATATTGACGTATGGTCAAAAGACGTCCCAAGATGTCAGTTATATGACTTTTTGGGATGAGAATGTGTTGATCAAAACAGTTCCAGTGTGTGATAGTGGTTCCTACACACTCATTTCACATGGGGTAGAAACAAACACAGTAAAATATATTATTTGGAGTCACCTGAGAAGTTTCTGGTGGCCAGCATAGTAGTGAGAATAGCTCCCTGAAGACAAAAACACGGGAGTCATGTTATTGAGTCACAGTGTGCAAAATTCAGAAATTTCTCATTTGCAAGTAGGAATTTTTTTTTTTTTTACTTTTTTTCCATAAAGCTTTCAAACAAGATCACACACAGTAACAGTGTCGGCCCAGATCCGGCCCACATCTGCTATGAGTGGAATCCACATGTACCAGATGTGGGCCGACACTATATGCTACTGTCTGGGATTTGTCAAGCCAAACTAGACTAATTTTTTTCTTTATCTGCATTTTTATTTGTACTTCAGACATTCAAATTCAGCATCTCGTATGCTACCTCAGCTAGAAACTGATTTGGAATTCGAAACGCTTTATGGAATTCCATTTGGAACTCTTGATGATTCCAAATGGCCTAGTGTTCACCCAACATGTATTAAAGTGGAATAATATTTATAGTTGATGGAACAATCCTACACTCTAAAAAAAGATGATTCTTTAACAATTCTATTTAGAACCGTATTACTATTATTTGTATATTTTAATAAAGAATAAAGGAATAAAGAACCATAAACTCATCATGAAGAACCCTATATATACTGAAATGGTTCTTTATGATGAGTTTAGGGTTCTTTGTTCCTTTATTCTTTATTAAAATATACAAATAATGGTAATATTAATAATATGAAGATACTAAGATACTCATATCAATGAAAATAAATATTGTTGAACATTTTATTTGTAACTTACAGCACTTTCAAAGCATGGTTCTTTATGGAACCTTATGAAAAGGGGGTTCTTCCATTGATATATGTTGAAAAAAAAACTGTGTTGTCTTTTAAATTGTGTTCAATTCAATTTCAATGTGTCACTTTGTACTGTGATGACCTGACAGGGGACTGCACATGTAATTCTGGCATATTTATATTGCTGAAAAGCTAAGATGTACATTATGCACTGTCCCTTTAAAGCAAACAAATAAATAAAAATATAAGTTCAGAAAATTCAAGCCAAGTGTTGTGAGGTTCAAACCTGCAACTTTTTGGGTGCCAGCCCAGATCTACACATCCCTCGTCTCATCTTTCTAAACAGAGTCAATGCGATCTCACAGTACGAGAGCTTCTTGCAAGCCTCATATAAACTTACCTTAAGCTTCCTTCTGGCATTGAACTTTTTCAAACATTCAACAGTCTCCTGTCTATGCATGCAAGATGCAACAGTGGAGCGATGCTGAAAGCAAAAAGAGGCAAGAGGATAGGTAGAAATACATCAATGAGGCATTTTTCTCAAGTTGTGTGTGTGTGTGGTCGAGTCCTGAACTCACTGAGATCCACGGGTGCTTGAGCACCTCCGCAGCGGTGATGCGCTTAGCTGGGTTGATGGTCAGCATCTTATTAATAAGATCTTTTGCCTCAGGAGTGACCGTGTCCCACTCAGGTGAAGGAAACTGTGGGTGCAACAAGTATGAATCAGACACACATCATCATTTCTGGCATCATCATCATCATCACTATATGAAAGACGCTTTTACTGACGTCATATGCGCCAGCTTTAATTTGCTGATAGAGTCTATGTTGGTCTTCATCCCAAAAGGGTGGGTATCCAACCAGGAGAATGTAGAGAATCACACCTAAAGAAGAACATAGAATGGATATTAATAAACTTCAAGCTTTAATCCATGCAATGTATATAATATATATGCTATAGTATAGAGCAAGGTATAAGGAGAGACCAAGGAGTGTTGTAACTTATATGTCTAAGTTGTTTGTACTTGTTGAGCATTTTACATCTTAAAGTCCCCCTGTGGTGAAAACACAGCTTTTAATGTTGTTAAAACTATGTGGTGTTTTTAATATGTGTAAGCTCATAAGTGGACAGCATTGCTGAGTGTTTTCTGCTTAGTGAACCAAAGACAGTCTCAAAAACACGGTTTGAAATCGCTGGAGGTTCTGACGTCACAAATGACCTTGTAACCAATCAGATCAACATGTGATCGTCAACCAGTGGAGTGAGTGAATGGAGGCGGGGCTCATTTGCATATTCATAGAATAGCGTATACTATTATAATTGGCATGATTCATCCATGCATACACTCTTAAAAAAATATATATATAAAACATTTTTTTTAAAAGCATGTTTGGGTTCCCCAAAGAACCATTTAACGAATAGTTCTTAAAAAAAAATTTTTTTTTAAGAACTTAAAGCTACACTGTGTGATTTTTACCCCCATCTAGTGGTGAAAAGGTAAATGACCATCCAGTGAATATTAGTTTCTGATCCTCTCAATTCCCATTTCGTTTTAACTCCTACGGTGGCCAATGTAGTCCAAGATTAACATGGCTTCCAGTTCGACCTCGTCCATGAGTGTCAACTCAAACGTAAACGCGAAAGGCGAAGCTTGAATTAACGGGTATGTCCCTCTTTGGCTAATGTACTTTCAAGACATTAGAACCCCTTACCCATATGTATTTTCAAAGGCATATTATACACTCACGAGAATACTTTATTACTTGAACGAAGTAAATATACATTAATGAGCACATATATTTTTGAAAGAACTAAGTGTTTTTAGCTAAGAATAAACTAAAAGAGTTACACAGTGTTGCTTAAAAGACATTTTGTCCACTGTAAATAACCTTTTGTGGATTCATGGATTCCTATATTCCAATAAAGAACCTAATTGTTAAGAGTGTATGCTTCATTTAAAAGAGAAATTTGACCTTATAATTTTCATTCAAAATCTAATAATTGGGTCCTTCTATAAAATGGCAGACCTCTCTCTGGTGACGTTCATCAGACTTCCTCAATCATTTAGTGTGCTTAAACCTGCACGTTCATGCTCACGTTCATCTGCCTCCACTTTAGCATCTGCATCTCAACATCCAGTCAACAACTAGTGCAGAGAATATGAGTTTATCCTTTTCAATAAGCTGTTACACTCAGATGTACGCCAAAATATGGAAGAAAGATCAGTCGCCACTTCCATTTCATTGCAACTTTAAAGGGATAGTTAACCCCTGTCAGTAATTCCTCACTCTCATGTTGTTTCAACCCCGTAAGACTTTCGTTCATCTTCGGGACACAAATTAAGATATTTTTGATTAAATCTGAGAGCTGGATCACTCCTCCATAGGCTTCTGTGGGATTGAAACTTGCCGGCCCAGAAAAGTTATTAAAGACATCGTTAAAATAGTCATAGTGACTACAGCGGCTCGACCTCAAGTTTATCAGGCGACGAGAATACTTTCTGTTACTCAACATGAGAGTGAGTAATTACTGACAGAATTTGCATTTTTTGGTGAACTATCCCTTTAAAAGTCATGTGATGTTTTACAGTGTGGCAAAAGATATTCAGCTTTGGTTACATTCGCTGCATTTAGAGTGAAAACGTCATAAACACGTCAAAGCGAATGTATTGCAATGCACCACTCTGCAATGGATGGTTTAGTACCATACTGCATCATCATGCATCCTTTCAGTGTTTGATGCAAAAACAAGAGACACTAACCACATGCCCACAGGTCCACAGCTTTTCCATAGGGGTCCTTCCGTAAGACTTCAGGGGACAGGTAACCAGGAGTGCCAGCAAACCCTGATGTCAGAAAAAATAACATAAATAAATAACCTTTTTTTGAGCATATATTTCAAAATTTAAAATTGAAAAATGACATTTTACGATAATTACACACTATTACAAGTCACCGAACAAGCTTATGGACCCCATAAAATGAAAATGGGAGTTTAGTCAGCATCAAACCGGGACCACGTGATGACATTGTGGAGCGTCAAATTCAAAGCACAATTCAAAGCGCACACGTTAAAATTAAAGGCAAGCGTTAAAGTGACTTTTATTATATAGATATAACATAAACTCATATTGTTTTTCTTATTCTCCTAAAATATATACAATAATTGTATCAAATGCATTAAGATTTACATCAGCAGCAAAACAAATATGCAGAAAAGCAACTGAAAAATGGAAAAGAACAACGTAGCAATTAATGTACTCAATATTATGTGAAGATGCTGTATCCGCCTTCTAGTGTTAATGTATGTTTTTTTTTTTTTTGCACTTGCATATTAATGCTGTTTGCTGGGATAATAAACGGGTCATTACCAAACCAGGCCTGTTGTTCCCCTTCGACCTCAATGGCAAGGCCGAAGTCTGCTAACTTCACAGCTGCGCCTTTTGATTTGGAAGCCAGAAGCAGGTTCTCTGGCTAAACATGGAAATAAAATATTACAACATACATATTGAAGTAGTATAGTGGAGTAGTAACAATTGTATTCTCTATGAGTCGATTTTGTAGTTGCCTTGATGTTATTAGCTTTTAAAACTAGCGATCATGGTTTCTTAAAGGAATAGTTCACTTTTGAAAAAACTTTTGCTGATAATTTAATCTCCCTCATCTCATCCAAGATGTCCATGTCTTTCTTTCTTCAGTCGAAAAGAAATTAAGGTTTTTGATGGAGACATTCCAGGATTTTCTCCATATAATGGACTTCAATGGGAACCAAACGGTTCAAGTTCCAAATGAGCGTTTCAGTGCAGCTTTAAAGGGCTTTAAACGACACCAGACGATGAATAAGGGTCTTATCAAGCGAATCGATCGCTCATTTAAAAAAATAAATAACAAAGTTTAATTTTTATAAGCTCAAATGGTCGCCTTGCTCTGTTCTGTGATGTGTGTTCGTGACTCTCCTGTTCAAACTCGTTCATCAAAATGAACGAATCTTTTTTCGAGTCATGACTCGAAGGGTCCTAGATAAGACCCTTATTCATCGTCTGGTGTCGTTTAAAGCCCTTTGAAGCTGCACTGAAACTCCCATTTGGACCTTGAACCGTTTGGACCCCATTGAAGTCCATTATATGGAGAAAATCCTGGAATGTTTTCATCAAAAACCTTAATTTCCTTTCGACTGAAGAAAGAAAGACATGGACATCTTGGATGACATGAGGGTGAGTAAAATAAATGATCAGCAAAAGTTTTTCAAAACTGAACTACTCCTTTAACATCACTATATGCTTGGCTTAGTCATATTCAATGTACTGCCGTGTGTTGTATATCGTACTGGCGTTGAGCAATATCTGCAGTAACTGTTCTGTCAATGACCTTTGCTGTTATAATTGACCGATTCCCAGATCACAGACTTCTGTCACTGGGGTTTCTGTCCCTAAACACAGGGTTATAAGGTTATAAGGTCAATTGTTTTATAAAAATGTTTTTTTTTTCACTTTTCACAGAAACGCCATCTTGACTGCTTTAGTCGACTGCATTGAGATTTTACAATAACATTTGTGTTTAAGTTTCCTGGTGTTTTTTTTCCTGAATATAGTCAGAGCTTGAGTATGAGTTGTACTGAAGAAAAGATAAAAATGAGCTCACTGCGTGTCTCTCACTCCCAGTGTGAATGTGTTAACCTGTTAGATAAGGCCGCTATAATGAGAGAGTGTTGCTTATACAGTGTACTGTATGTAAAATAGCCCTTAGATACGTCTCGAAACAGTGAGATCAGTTGATATATAATTACCCACACACTGATACAACATCTGAGAGCATAACTGCATGATTAATCGTTAAAAGATAGCGATCTCGATTCAAATTGTTCTTAATCTTATCCCTAAATGACAATGATTGGCCTGTGTCTATTAAAACTTCTGCGTTCTGATTGAGAGAGAGCAGTTGTCATGTTTAATGTATGAAACAGCTTCACAAATACACAGTATTATTGTTTCTGTCGTATAATAATTCAAATTATCACAGAAGTTCTGCGAATAAAGTTCATAGTTCGGATATAAACACTGATGTCTACGGGAGCCATCAAAATCACCTTTTAAAAGTAACTTGACGCTTTAAATAAAGATTGTATTGATTTCATCGTTACACCAGTAGGTGGCGACAAGACTGTTAAAAATGTGTTTGTCATTGAATCATTCACTCAAGATATTCGTTCAAAAACGCAGATGATGAAACAAGTGAAGTATTTAATCATTCATTCCAACCGATTTAAAAAAAGGGTGTTGTGCTCGGCCTTTAATGAGTGCTAATAAAATACATTTAAGGTCAATCATGATAAAATACCTTTAAGTCTCTGTGAACGACACCCATCTGATGGCAATGAAGAACTGCCTCCAAAATCTGCTGTATGCAGTGGCTTTAGGCACAAGAAGAAGAGAAAAAGAGACGAAACTTTTACTCAAACACACGTGACTATGTGATCACAATCCAGTTACTTTTGCTTTGTTTACTGTAACAATAAGAACGTTATTTTCCACTTTATTAACGTGAATTTGATGCAGTCTGATGAAAATGCAAAAATGGCAGTTTTGTGCAAGATTAGTGAGTTGTCTGGCTCTGGTCAAGACAAGGAGACTTAACTTTGGACTATTTAACTTAGTGTGCATTTATGCATTTGCATATTTGGCATTATTTGTGTAATGCTTTTATACATAGAGTCCGTTTGTGTAATGCTGATGATGGACCACCCACCTGGCATCTGCTTCGCTGTAATATTCCCTGGCAACAATGTCTTCAAACAGCTCACCACCCGTTACTCTGGACCAGACCACAAGAATCAGCACTAGTTAAAGGATTATTCGGTAACACTTTACAATACGGGTGCACTAATATGCATTAATTCATGCTTAACTAATGCACAGATTATCATGAGTTAATGTATAACTCATGAAGAACTAATGATTACTGCATCAGGAACTAATAAAGAGATTAATAGATTAAGTAATACATGAATTGCTATTAATTCGATGTGTCATTGTGTATTAATTCCTTAATTACATATTTTATTAACTAATAGTGTAAATTAATGTGTTAATTACCACAATTAGTCAAAGCTATGCACTTCAAACTTCCAGTTGTCTGCTTTAATTAATCATTAGCTAATGATTTGCAGGTATCATTATGTTATGACTTTACTTGATGGAGCACATCATTATTAACTAGTCATTTAGTAATGAATTTGCACTAACAATGAAGTAATTAATCATCTATTAATGCATATTAGTGTACCTGTCATATTATCTGGACGTTGAAATACAAGGCGTTGGCTCATTTTGGTAATTAGCATATTAATTAACACTATTAGTTAAAAAAATGAGTTATTATGGAATTAATCCACAATTACATATTTAATTAAAAACAATTCATGTATGAACTAATACATTAACCTTACAGACTCTTAATTAGTTCCTAATGTGGTAATCATTAATGAATAGCTTAAATAATCATTAGTTACACATTAATTCGGTATTATCTGTGCATTAGTTAAGCATGAATTAATGCTTACCGATTATTCTTTATACTTCTATAGGAACTTCTGACCCTGTGAACTTTTTATTTTTTCGCACTCTCACAAGTTCATTTAATTTGTCTATTAATATGGTGTACTGTATACTAGGGTGTACAAAAAATAAAATATAGCTGCATTCAGAAATTGTGGAGTCAAGCACACCAGTGGCAAAAAATGTGATTGGATATATTGATTTTAGGCAGAAAAAATAAAATAAAATAAAAACCGAGCAGAGTTACTAATGTAACGTAAATTGCAGTCATTAGATTTGTTAAGGCTTTACACAACAATCAAAAATCTTTCCATAACTTGGCATGGTGACAAAATGACAGAGCCACATTTTAAACAGAAGTAAAAAAAAATGCTTTCATTAAAATTTAAAATGGAGGATATGTAATATACGGCAGACCATAGCGGATATAGTCTGCATAATAGGCCAAATTTAATTGTAATGAAAAAAATTATATGAGCACTTTTAAACATTGTTATATTTTGGCAACTAGGTGGTGCTGGCACTGAACTTATTAAGGGCATGGTGCCAATGACACACCAAGTTTCCAAACCATATGGACCAATCATTCAACCTGGTACGGCCAAAGGAATATATAGAAACCACACTCTAAATAATGCTGGGTTGTTTGAACCCAAATTTGGGTAAAATATGGACAAACCCAAATGTTGGGTTAATAATGTCATTTCAAATTTTAACCCAACTTCAACTTTCACTTTCATTTTTTAATGGCATTTTAAACCCAACATTTGGGTTGAAACGACCCAGCATTGTTTAGAGTGCAGTCTCGTGGTTTTAGGTTTCAATTTCATATCCAGACAATGAAAGTAAAGTTCAATATTGCCTTGACTCCAATAACTTTCAAAATATCTATGCTAGATATATGTATATGCCGGTCTTCTCTGTGGGATAGTGTACAAAATGAACCTAATATAAAGGGGAAAAAAGAAAAAAAGTTGGGGAACACTTTCTTTTAATGCCGTCTCATTACATGTTACACGTATTTATAGAGTTAACAGTAAATTATATATGTAACTACAAGCGACTAACTCTGAAACAAATCCTAACCCTATAGAAGACTGCATGTTGTTAATTAATATTACTCTGTAGGCAATGTGTAATTAAACTGTAAAAAGGCCATGTTAAAATAAAGTGTCACCAAAAGCTGAAATTTGTATAATAAAAATCACTGTTAGATTAAAATGCCTGAAGTCTATAAAGAAACACCCTCACGCTTTTTATCATCTGGCAATTTTAAGACAATAGTTTTAAGGTGTCATACAGTAAGTGCTCTAATTATTTCAATATGAAGAAAGATATCTATTGTATCCACTCTAAGTCATTAGCTATTCCCACATAAACGCTAACATTAGCACAGGCAAGTAAATGCATTTAGCAATTTCTGAAAACAAACCATGCATTTACTCACATGGGCCTTTTTTGGGCCACTTTATAGTATATATAAAGTGCTAAGATCGAAGACTTACAAGTCGAAGATGAGGTAATGGTGGCCTTCCTCCGAGATGCTGTCATGCAGTCGCACTGGGGAACAATTGACGGTCGTGGTTCGCATGGAAAAGAGAAAGAGAGAAAACATGATCTAGAAGTCATTTTTGTTTCTTATGGTTTTCTTACAGATACTATTTCACTTTAAAACAGTAGCGAAACATGTACGACGCAACGTCAACGTTTAAGTGTGTTGAAAGTCATGTTATGCGTTCGCTAGGTGGCTGAGATACTTGTTGCACACTGCACTAGATCGATATTAGAATATCACATTAATAAAAGCTACATGTCTTGTGTTGCTATGTGGCATGGAGTTACATTTACAATATTGTTAGCTATGTTCATTTTGTTTGCGCTTTCACGGAGATTCAGTATGATTTCATTAATCACATGTCTTCCTGTTTTTGATTTTCCCGCCACTTCTTTGTTACCATGGTCACCATCATCATGAATTAGTTTGTTTCAGCTGTGTATTGTTAATAACCTTTAATTGTGTCAGCTCATCCTTTCCCTCTGTGCGTAGTCTGGTCACATTTGCGTTAATGTGTTTCTCTTCTGCCCTGTGTGTTATTGTTGTGTGGATTATTAAAAACTGCATTTGAACTTCATCATCTGTTCCTGCACACCCTGCTGACAAATATATTTTATGGTGGAGAAAAGGCTGTATTATTATTTCTACTTGTAAAAATAATCCTATAAAAAAACGGTAAACTACATGGCAGCTGTGATTGCCAGCATCTTACCGTAAAAATACGGTGTGTTACCGTTTTTGAAATGAACAGCTAAATACCGTATTGTCAGCTACAGTATAAAACTTTAATCTAACAGCTATATGCTGTAACACAAAAACAGTAACACGCCGTATAGTTACGGTATGATGCTTGCAACCACATCTGCCAGTAGTTTACTGTTTTGTTTTTTTTACAGGATTTTTATTTTTTACAGTGCTCATTCTGATTATGCTATTAGTGGTCTCTGAGGCATAATACAAACATGTTACTCGCGGCAAATCAAGAAAACCAGAGATTCGAACAATATGATAAATAACGGTGTTGATTTACATAACAATGATTCGTTTTCTGTCGATTAATGTTGATAAAAAACTGTTGCTCACCTGTCTAATAAAACACATAATATATAAAAGCGTCTTTGGTGTTTGGAAATCGAGGGTAGATATGACATCATTGACAGGTGACGCAATGACAATAGCTGATTTCTCCTGATTTAAACATTGTTGGAAACATTTGGGGTAATTTAAATACACAGGTCAACAAAATATATAAAATTGTTCAAGTGTTTTTGGAAATTTTAATCCAAAAATCTTACATATTGGCCTTTGCTTGGAGTCTTTTTATTAGGGTTCAAGCAAAAAGTAATTATCATTTTTATTTACAATGCAATTTATGCTTTTTTCAACGTTCAATGTTGCCTTGACTTCAATAACTTTCCACATAATTAGGCTAGGGTCACTTGCATTTGCATTTACAAAGCCATTTATGCTTTCTGAAACTGTTTGATCAAGGAAAATATAATTTGATGTGTATGTTTTTTGGGGTAAGTCCTATGAAAGCTTTAAAAACCTTAATCGCACAAAGCAACAAAAATGGCCGCCAATAGCCAATCAAATTCCAGCATTTTCAGTTTGTGAATAACTGATCATTATGAAATTTGGTAGATCCATAGAGACCATATATATTAGACTGTGTACCAAATCTGGTGAGAATCGTCATTAGATAGCGCTGTAAAACTAATTCAAGTCAACTCTGCAGCTGTAGAGATGGAATAAAGATCTGAACCCTTCCATGCCCATGTGCACATCCACTTCAAATCTCTCTGCCTCTTTTACTAAATAACTTGCCATTTGCCAGATGCAGATACTATTTTAGTATGCACCTCAAAAGGCTACTGACAAAAAGCTAGCAAAAAAACCCAAAAGATTAGCAGATATGGGCTAAAAAGAACAGGACAGCATTTTTAAAGAATCGCACATACTGTACATCCGAAGATATCCCTCTAAACCATTTTCAGTGAGAGTTCAGCAAGTAGTCAGTATTACCATAGCAACTGCCTTGCCATGCCTTAGCAACCATTCAGAGCACCCTAGCAACCGGATTATGCCTAGCCATATTTCGGCAACAGAACGAGACATGGGGTGGTCTTTTTACTGAGACTCATACACAATTGTTACGTACACATTAAAAGGGAACTATATGAGGTAACACTGAAGCAATACTCGCATATTCTTTAGGAAATGTATAAAGCACACACAACACAGGAGTATTTTACACAAACAGTCCTTAATCCTAAATTCTTCAGATCACAGATCAAACTCGGGAGACAAGAAAGCAACCACTTTACATCAACGAGAAGTATGTGAAAGTTATTGTCTATGGAGAGTTATATCCTATTGTTGGCTAGTTCATAGACATTCTCACTCTGTTCGTCAGATGTCTGAGACTCAAATGCTTTTATTGATCATAATTCATTAAACATATTTCCCTATTGGGCTAATGTCCTACAAAATGCAGCTATTTATCATTACTCTCCCCCTATACATCTGCAACACAAGTGATAATAGGAAACGGTTTCAGATCCTTAAACCCATCATGCCTTCAATTGGCTAAAAACAAGTTTATGTTACGATCTCATTTAGATAGCTTGATGATAACTTACCGATATTGGAGTGTTTCAGCAGTCTGCAGATCCTAGCCTCCCTGTCCAGCTTCTGGTGATCTAAAATATACATATATATAAAGAGATTTTCACATATATTAAAAGAAAAACATGAGTACTTTTAGTTTTCAACATTCAAAGTGGAAAACATAGCAAAAAATGTTACACCCTCATTTACATTAAAGAAAATAACACTTTACTTGAAGGGTGACATGACATGACACCTTCATAATCATGACAGGACACAAGTCACAAATATGAAGTAGAGTTTATGCATGTTTATGACAACTGTCGTTAAGTGTCATTCGCTCAATAATGACATTTTTAATGCAAATATGACATTGTTTGAGATGTCTTTGTTGTGACAACTTGACATAAACCAATACATCATAACCTGTCGGTGTCTTTGTCATGACAACTTGACATTACTAAGACAACACAACCTGATGATCAAACTTAAAAAAAACACCTAGCTTTATAGGTTAACATTACATTAAACTGTCAGGTGTTTGGGTTTGACATTGGCTGTCATGAAGCCATTATAACATTTTAATGACAAATTCAATGGTAACACTTTACAATACGGGTGCACTAATATGCATTAATTCATGCTTAACTAATGCACAGATAATCATGAGTTAATGTATAACTCATGAAGAACTAAACCATTAATTAATGACTGCATCAGCAAATAAAGAGTCTATATGATTAATAGATTAAGTAATACATGAATTGCTATTAATTCAATGTGTCTTTGAGTATTAATTCCTTAATAACATATTTATTAACTAATAGTGTAAATTAATGTGTTAATTGCCACAATTAGTCAAAGCTATGCACTTCAACTTCTAGTTGTCTGCTTTAATTAATCACTAGCCAACGATTTGCAAAGGTATCATTATGTTATGACTTTACTTGTTGGGGCACATCATTATTAACTAGTCATTAAGTAATTGTAGTAATTCGCACATGAATTTGCAGTAACAATGAAGTAATTAATCATCTATTAATGCATATTATTGTACCTGTCATATTATCTGGAAGTTGAAATACAAGGAATTAATCGACAATTACATATTTAATTAATAACAATTCATGTATGAACTAATACATTAACCCATACAGACTCTTAATTAGTTCCTAATGTGGTAATCATTAATGAATAGCTTAAATAATCATTAGTTACACATTAATTCAGTATTATCTGTGCATTAGTTAAGCATGAATTAATGCTTATTAGTGCACCCGTATTGTAAAGTGTTACCAATTCAATAAGTACCACTGTAGTTGAGGTCAAGAAAAATAGTCATGACACAGTTATAATGCCTCATGACAGCCAATGTCAAAACCAACCACATGACAGTTTAATGTAATGTTAACCCATAAAGCTAAGTGCTTTCTTAAGTTTGATCATTAATCTGCAATATCATGTTTTTGACATATTTATGACAGGTTATGATGTATTGGTTTAGCTATGTCAAGTTGTCATGACAAAGACATCTCAAACAATGTCATATTTGAATTAAAATTGTCATAATTGAGCAAATGACAGTTGTCATAAACATGCATAAAACCTCCTTCATCTTCAAGACATATGTCATGTCATGGTTATGAAGGTGTCATGTCAGTCTTATGCACACCCCTTCAAGTAAAGTGTTACCCAGAAAAATTAAAGAGGCAAGTCACGTTTATTATAAACCTCATTAAAGTGGTCTGTTTTGGCCATAAGTATTGAAACATTTGGCACAATCTGCAAGGTTGGAGTGATCTCAAGGTATAGCAGGGCCCAAATGCAGTATTCATTTTTCATAAAAAAAAAAAAAACAGAAGCAGAACTGAGCACACCACCAACGCATCCATGGACAAGACTTGACCCTAAACAGAGGAAAAACAAGGGCTTATACTGCCATTCAGACTTTTTTTTAGGATTTCAGATTTTTTTTCCACCTCCTACTTGAAAATAAAATGTGAGACGCCGTTTGAAATGTGAACTCAGGGCCGATCCCCAGCGAATCCTGCCATTTCAAGACACTTCCAAGATGGCGGCATCTTTAGTTTGTACATTATGATACCTTCATTTTAGCTTTTCATCCTCTTTGTCATAATTTGACACAAAGTGTTCTTATTGTGTAATGGAAAAATCATGTGGTCAACATATGTCAAGTCAAGTCAAGTCACATTTATTTATATAGCGCTTTTCACAATACAGATTGTATCAAAGCAGCTTCACAGTGATAACATGAAAGTAGTACAACACAGATCAATAATACTGCTAAACACTAAATAACCCCAACTGAGCAAGCCAAAAGCAAGGCGACAGTGGCAAGGAACCAAAATGTGAAGAGTAATTGACTGGAAAAGATATGTGAAGTGTAATTGACTGGAAGTGGGTCATTTCAAGTATTTGGGAAATTCCCATTTCGACCTCGCCTCAAACGCAAGCAATAATCAGGGTAACAAGACACAGGTGCGAACAATCAGGGAATCACAACGGGTAACAGGAACAGAACAGTACAAGCTAAAAGTCCATATACAACACTAGCAGGGAACAACAACAAAAGAACTTCAACATAAAAGTCCAAACACAAAACAAGGAACATGTTCATGCTTCATCACTATCCTGCCGAGATGAAAGAATCTATATGAGGCCCCTCAGAAGATAGAGGATTTAATGGCTCGATACCACAATTTTGGCTATGGTACGATACCAGAACCTAATACCTCGGTATCGATACTAAATCGATACCACAGTCGGAAAAAAAAGAGTCTAAATTTAAGTGAATTGAAACAATTTTATTAAACACTGCTTGAAACTCTCAACTACCATATGTGCAAAGAAAAGTATCCCAAAAAAAAAAAACGTATCAAAATTTTAAAAATAAAATTATGTGTAGGTAAAATTTTAATTTTGGGAAAACCACTGATATTACACAATTAAAATAGGTTAATATAATAGATTAACATAATAGAATAATGAAATGACGGTAACCATTAGCTGTCATGCATCAACAGAGAATTATCAACATTTATTGCATTTATTCATCTTAGTTTGGTTACTGTTTGTGTTTGGGCTCATATTATGCATATAATGCATTGCAAAAAGTAATGTTATGATGCTAACCATATATTAGGATATTACATTTTTAGGTCATTTTATTACTGATTGATCTAGATTAATCAATGCTATATTGTTAGGCCAGGTTCCTTAATGAATGTTGACAAATGTAGCTTAATTGTAGGCTAATATTATTAATATTTATATTACTACCCTCTCTCTCGCGCGCTCTCTCTCTCTCTCTCTCTCTCTCTCTTCGCCACAGCCTCAGTAATGCCATTGATTTATCACTTTTATGCTTTATTAATTTAAATTAAATGAATATATTTGTTTGAAATAAATTGCAAAAATGAGATCATGAGACGTAAACTGAGATCATGAGACGTAAACTAAATTGGTATAGCGTGTCATGCAAGAAGATTTGAGCTTTCGTGTTTACCATATCATATTTAATTGATAAGCTCTTAGGTATGTGCGCTGTTCAGTGTTCAATAAAAGTCTAAATTAAATCAGTTGAATGATGAACTCACCAGTCGATCTCTTGAACAATGAGCAACGGACGAGCGCTTCGGCAGATTTGATGTGTTGCCTTCCATGGCAACACATTATTGAAAGCAAAGTTTGCAGAGTGGTTCATTGAGGTCTGTGTCTACACTATTCTTATTACTTTAGTAGGCAAAGTAATGCCTTATTTCACTGATACTGCTCTCTCTATTTAATAATTTCGGGCGTGTAAAAACCCGAATGAGCTTTATTTCCACCGTGTTCCTTCGTTTGCCAGTTTCGCGTGACTTGCATCCGTTTCGGTAGCGCACTGCCGCCTAGTGGAGAACTTCGGAAAAGCAGCTCATCAAATACCGAATTTAACAAAATTATGATATTGTACCGTTTTAAATTAATTATATACCGGTATTTTTGCAATACCGGTATACCGCGCATCCCTAAAACCCATCATTCCACATAGAAATGTTTTGTTCTAAAAACGTTCGGGGAACATAACCATGAAGTTCTAATAATGTTTTCGGCGGGTAGTTTTATTTTGGTTCCAAGAATGTTCTCCTAAAAGGAACACAACACAAACTCCAGTGATAAAGGTTAGTGAGATAATTAAGTGATTAATTTAGTGATGATTGAGCATTATTGAAGACACCTGATGTTAACAAGCAGAATCACAGAAGGGGAAAAACACTATTTTTAAGTCCCCATTGTGGTGATCAGTGTGTGCTTTAGTTGGGTCTTAACATCTCAATCCTTTCATGCAGCACAGGTTTCTACAATAGCAGCAACTGACTTTTAAATCACAATAGAGCCAGACCGATATATCGGCCGATATTAGAGATTTTCCCAACTATCGGTATCGGCAGTTATAATGGCCGATAAATGAATATTTCAAAAATAAAATAAAAACAGACGAAACACGCTTCAATCATCTCTCCTTGGCCCGTTAAATTGAAAATGTATGTTTTACAATTTGCAGTATAACATTATCTATTGCTAAATTATGGCTCATCATAGACTCGCTAACCTGACATTGTAATTATAAGGTAGCTTGCAATGTAGGGACAAATTATTATTTTATTTATCAGAACTTTAATATATTTTGATGTTCCTCTGTTCTGTTGTGACAAAAGAAAAAAGTTTCTTTTTAAAATGCTTTATCATATTATTTTAGTTAAAACTCATAAATAACGACAAATAACTATGTTAGGGAAATCTGTTAATGTTTTGTTGCGCGTTTCTGAGAAAAAAAATATATATCGGCCGATATATCAGAATATCGGATTTTAAAACCAAAAAATATTTGTATCGGTATCGGCCTTCAAAATCCTTTATCGGTCGGGCTCTACAATAATGGCATATGTTTTAGGGACGGGTATATGTAAAGGACAACAACCCAGACAGCAATATAGTCTCGACCCTGATCCGGCCGTTGAATCCACACCAGATGTGGCCCGGATCTGAGCCGACACTACATTGCTGCCAGGAAAGGATGTGACAGACTTCA